TGTGTGTGTGTGTGTGTGTGTGTGTGTGTGTGTGTGTGTGTGTGTACGTGGAGGCAACATAATTCTTAGTCAACGGTGACAAAAGCGATGACTGACGCAATAATCAACATGACTCATTTCGTAATATTCTCGATTCAGTGAAAAATGATTGTTCTGAACATTGCATAGACTTTATTTCATTTATGCTCAACTAACTCATAATCGTAGGCCAACCGAAAAACCGGCTCATAGTTGTCCATTGGAGCAAAAATTCGATTGAATGACCGATGGAAATGAACTTTCACAAAGTCACAACAATATTTCATTGAGCCCAAAACGAGAGCGCGATTCGCGAATTTGTGTGTGTGTGCTTTGTTCAATCGGCAAACCGAAACAAAGAAGCGAAAAAAAATCAATGCAAAAAAAATAGCATACACTCAGCCAACACATATATCAATTGGACTCTCTCGTGTATCAAAACTCACGCGGCCCAAAGTGAATGACCGTGTACGACCAAAAAGAAACTGTTTTAAGTTTGAATCTTTTTTCCATATTTTTTTTCTTTGTTCCTTTACTTCGCCGAATTTTTCCATATGCTCAACAACCGAAATACTACTCCAATTGATCGGGCACTGTGTATGCAATGTATGCAGAAATTGACAATTGCGACATGTTTACCGATCACTTTTTGCTTTGGCGCATCCTACTTTAAAAAAAAATGCTTTAATGTATTTCAGTTGGGCCAACCTGAGTTGGTTTTTTTCCCTCTGCTGTTTGGCATATAGTAAGTATTTCATGAAAGCTTGACAAAAATGAGTGTAAAAATAAAATGTGTGATTTTGCTTACCTGCGCTATCGACTGCAAAAATGTTTGCCCAAGGCGATCTAAGCGAAATCGTTTCAGTGGCCAGCACGGTCAAAATTGAATTTCGCATTCATTGACGCCGACACCGCGTCGTATACAGGCCTCGAAAAGAATGTTGCGTCGACTGACTCAACAGCACCGAAATTGGGACTGGAAATCGACACCGAACCGGGCAGTTGAACTGTAATGGTTTCTGTGGCAACACACACACACACTCAATCAGGCGATCTGACCAACGATCGAAAACGTTAGACGGCCTTTCCAATGCGAACGAAGCACTTATTCTAAGCAATTTATGCCCGATTATTATGATATTTTCTCTTTGTATTTGTTCCTTTTTCGTCGAATGAACTGCGGCTGAGTTCCTTTTTTGCTTTTATGCCTTTGTCTTTTCTCTTTTTGAGTTTTTCGTTCACGCAACAGTCACGCTACAGACACAAAAGCACCGAAGATTCGTTCACAAATACACACAGACGAGCCAAACAATGTTTCCTTTTGGCAATGTTTCGATAATTCATTAACCTTTTTGGTAATGCGAACGAATGAACGCCGAAAAGAAGAATCTGCGTTAACAGCGCCGAATCACTGAAGTCACCGAACAAAAAAAGCCAGTCACTCACAATGGGCAAACGAAAATTCAAATAAAAAACTAGCGGCTATTAGTCAATATACACACAGTGATCACTAGCTTAAACACAGCAGAAGAACAAAATAAAAAACTTGTTCAATGCTGATGCGTTGAATCGGTTTCTGCCTCGATTCTCGCACGGATATCTGTTATTGATATACTATTTCACTTAAGTATACACGTTTCTTTTTTTTTTATTTTGACGCTGTCTCATTGACTCTCGTTTCACACGAAAATCTAAGTGAGCTCGCGAATTAGCCGAATATTGATGATATATTCAAATTGTTGTTTATGCGCAAACAAACCAAGAGAGAGAGAGAGAGAGAGAGAATGAAACGACAAGCGACAGAGGAAAGAAAAAAAATAAAATTAAATAAAACGAGTTGGTAATATTAGCACTCTCTACACAAATAAAATTGACCTAGGTTCTCGCATTTCACGCACACACATAAATCAGTGTCTCATCGTTCTTTTTTTTCATTTGAATTTGCCATGTCTTTCGCACTGCCTCTCAAATTGCGACGCTTTTTTACGGCTGTCTCTGATATTCTTTTCGTCGGTTTTTTTCCTCTTTTTTTCGATACTTCACATTTGTCCGTGAGATTTTTACTGCACTCAATAAGTTGGATTGTCACAATTAGTTTCACCGAATTAGATTGAGATCAGCAATTTTGGGCGTAGTGTGAGACAGTTTTTTTTGTTTGTTTCTTATTTGCTGATGAAAGTCCAACAGTATCAGATATTGAGCAATGTTGTCTAGCATGAGCCAATCTCATAACTTTATTTGCGTTGAATAAACAATTCACTGACTTCGTACCGAGTAAGTGTAGCAGAGTTGATCAATTTGTTTTTTTTCTCGCTTCAATCGTGTTTCCACTCTCGTTAAACCTCCAAATAGTTATCACCCTTTTTGTTTCGTTTTCAGTTTTGTTTGTTTGCTATTTTATGATCGAATCTAAAAAAATTTCACTTATCACTTGTACACACACTATACACGAACAATCCACGATGATATACTTCTTTTTTTTTTATTGTTGTCTCTTCGCTGATCGAGCTGGGTAAGTATGATGGAAAAATTTTCCGGTGTCTATGACCAGAAACTAATTATATGATTAGCAACGTGATAAGCGCGTAATTATTTCACAAACAAAAATCTCGTGTAAGAAAAGACACATTACAAATGTGTATCAACGGAGCACGTTTAACGTTGTCCGTATCAGTTTTTGTTGTTGTGTTAAATAGAAAAAAAATCCTTAAATTTCACGATGACAACGACAAGCAAAAATTACATCTCACTTAAATGATCAGACAATTATTTTTTTTCACGATGTACATGGGTACAAAATTTACGTTTTTTTTTCGAAAAAAATACAACACTCAGTCGATTGGGGTATAATTGTGGCTCTGTGGTGCGCGCGTTCTCTATGACCGTTTATCGCATTCTGTATGTGTACAAAAGTTGTTAACTGAAAAAATCGACGTTGAATTTGAAGTTCGCAAATACATACAGCAAACGAGCAAAACTGGGCCCGAGAACCTGCACACTCACTCACTCAGACAGGCGAATGTGTGTCTCGACCAAGACCGATACAGAGCGAGCGAATAAAGCGACAGAGATGGCGATAGAAACGGACGGAGACAGCGACAGACACATACAGAATACACAACCGGCTCTCTCGCACGGTATACACACATTTATAAAATGCCTGGCTTTGACTGTATCGGCGTCCAAATTTTTTTTTTTTCGATGTGCCAAAAGCTGCGTCACAACACGATGAATGTGTTTGTTATTCCCTCTCTCTCGTTCGCTTTATGATATGAACCGAAAATCGTTTGGTGTTGTTTTACTTTTTTGGCTATGCTTTGTGTGTTTTTTTAGCTCCAGTTCCATCATTCATGAATGCGAATTAATAAAAAGTGAAACCAAGTAGGGAAAAAAAATGAAGCGAAACAAACCGAAAAAAAGTTGCGTGTGCTCAATAAAATTGCTTGAGTCAAGTTCATTTAGAAGATATCGTTCGGATGAGTCTTTAACCCCTTACGAATATTGCCGAATTGACAGCCAAATCTGTTGCTTCAGCCGGCGTTTCTACGACGCGATCTAACCCAAACTCTGAATTCAACAAATATACTTCAACACCGATGTCAGTGTATGTTCTCTCGGCACACGGTGAAGTTGGAGCAATAGCAGCGAACGCGATAAAATCATCCACATTAATGCTTGCACACATGCACAATCATACTATGCGCCCCAAAACGCAATACACATACAGCCGCACCATCAACACGGTTGAAAATAAAAGCGGTGAAGTCGATAAAAAAAAAACAACGACTACCACGACAACGACCAACAACAAAAGCATACAACAACCAGCAGCACCACATTTTCATTGAAGCACGTGGAGGCGATGAATCGGTTTTGTATACTTTTACACACGATATACCGAAACGACATAGAATTCTCGTTCTCTCGTCAAGTTCATTTCCACTCGTTTACGTTCTATTGCACTGCTGCTGTTGCTGTTGGTGTTGCTGCCGCGGTTAACGAAATAGTAAATACAATAATGTGTATATTGGCTATATGCAGCTCCATGGCTGCTGTTGCTGTTGTCGCTGCTCGCTCTGTCGCTGTTTGGCCTGCATGAAAGTGAATAAAAACTTTGTATTCATTTATATACATACATGAATATCTATTTATATCTATGAAAACACAATGAACAACGGACCGATGTAAAATACAGAGAAAAAAAAACCGCAAACGATTCAACACATCTCATTCAATCATTTGGTGCACTTTATTTTGTTGCGCTCGAGAATATACCGCGCCGTTAATCTTTCGATTCTCTCTCGCGCAGCGAATATATTCATTTTGAAAACTATTTTCGTATGCACCAACGAATTTTTTTTTCTTGATTTTGATGGGAATGATTTTTGTTCGAGAGAAAAAAATACGGCGTCTGGGTCGAATAAAATAAATCAAACATGCTCAAAACGACCGTCCGAACAAATATAGGTTTTTGATGTTAGATGCATTTTTTTTTTTCGTAGAAAATTGAGAACAGCACGAATAAACGTGTGTAAACAAAGTCATTCCTTTAAATGAGGCTATTGAGAGTGTATACACGATGATGTCATTTGGTGCCGAAAAATTCCGCTTTGATTATTCAATCAAATAATTTGGATTGAAATAAATCGCTTTTAAATAAGGAGCTTGCACATAGAAGAAATCTTCTTATTGAATAGAAAAACTCCCTCATCTTCTTTTCATTCTTCTCCTTCCACTTCTTCTTATTTTATTACTCTTTGCCATGACAAGCTGCAGCTTATTACAAGCAATTGCTTGTCTTGTAAGAAGTGTCTTGGTTTTTATTGCAGTGCGAAGAAAATTCGAAGAAAGCCGAAAACACACCGAAAAAGGTCAATGAACCAAGTGCAGAGAGCAAATATTGTACGCGCATCATAACAACAACAACAACAACAACAAGAACGAACGAACGGTTCATGCCGAACAACATCAAGTGAATGAATGAACCGAACCCTCTTGCCAAAAAGGCCATATTGCCAAAAATGGATAATAAGACTGTTGCCTTTGCCGAAATTCGTTCCACACCATCATCATGAAGCGGATACAGTTTCAACGTCATGTGCCACTGCCTTTTGCTTGCGCTGAAAAATGGTAGAAAGTAATGCAATTGGTAATGTTTGTGCTACAAGTACTATGCGTAAGCGAATACACCCTCTTTTCACCGCACACAATTCAACGATCCATCCATGTTCTATATACTCGTACGCATATCGTAGTAGGAATTTCTTTATGCATTCACTACTACACACGCTGTAGAGCGTCGCTCACTGCTGCTGCTGCTGCTGCTGCTAGAGTCAATGAACCCCGAAAATAAGCATAGCATGGAAACAACAAAACTAGGATGAGATCAAAGAACCCAACAGGAAAGAGTGAGAGAGGAATGGGATTTTTCGACACAACACGTGTCGACAACAAATGCAACTCACTCGAAATGCGCTTGGAGAGGCGAACGCTGGAATAGTAGGAAAGAAAACCGATCCCGGGCCTCATGCACACTCGTGGGATGGCTAACATGCACACGCCGTTCAACAACTATTCGAATGAACCCAATGCACGAGCGAACATACGAACGACTGAAAAAAAAACAACAACACAATAACTAGCATCGTGGCGTGCATCAAAAGTTCATGTACCGCAACATTGGAATTGGAATCGGTCGTTCTCGTTCATTGTGCGTTCAATAGTATGCACATTGAACTCTATGGCGTACGCGAGTGAGTAAGAGAGAGAGAGAGAACCACAAAAAGAACTCGATACACACACAAAGCGAGAAAAAAAGAGCCGGAGTTGAGGGAAGCATGTGTTTATGTTAATGCGTTTATTAATGCAACCATTGCACACACAATACATAAACCAATTTTCGGTTGATTCTTATTTTTTTTGTCTTTAACTCAGCCATGTGCAATAGCTAGTGCTTTATTTTGAGTTTCATGAAATTTTGGTTGCTGCTTTTTCTTTGTTTCGGGTTTTGTTAATAGACAATTGTTATGCATTCATCGAACCAGAATAATGATGCGCAAGGAGAGAAAAACGACACACTAAAATTAAAATGAAGAAAATTGGAGGAAAAAAAACGACGACGACGACGACGAAGAAAAGAAAACAAGAACTAATTGAAATTCGTTTTCTCATCAATTTCGGTGGTTGTTGACCTGTCTTTTATTTCGAGGCATCTTAGAACAATCAACACATTATTTTGTCCAATCACATTTTGAACGATATTGAGGTCGACACTGCATTTGAACCATTTCGAATCAATTTGGTTGTGCATTCAATTCTATCTGAATTTTCTCGTGAACTCTTTCCCAAGCCAAAGCGATTTATTATTGTTTTGGTGTGTAGAATTGTAATTTTTTTGAGTAGAAAAATCGTTAAAAAAATGAACTTTGACATTAGAACTCTGGGAATAAAATGAATTTTTCAAGCAAGAAATTCGAATTTTCAGGTAAAAATTCAAAGTTCTATGCATGAATTTCGTGGATATCCATTAAAGATTCCTTATTTTTGCTGTTATATTTATTTGATCAAGTAAAATTTTCTTTTACACTTATTAATGACAAAAATCCGCTATCTAATCCCAAAAGGTGTTATCCAAAAAAAAAGTTTATAAGAAAATGTTCGTAATTGGATGCTTTTGGATCGAATTACTTTTGTTTTCTTTTATTATGTGACTTCGAAAGTAAATTAATGATTGGCCAAAATGAAATGAACCCCAGTCACACGTATCGACAAAGCGGCAAAATAATGTCAAGTGTTTTGATTAATTAAATCACGTTTACATTTCTCAAAATAAGCCGTATTGGTTGCACGATTAGATTCCAATCTCATATGTATTATACAACTTTATGATATGTCATTGTCGTGCAAAGTGTCAGTGTTCATGAGGTGGGTTCGTTCGTTTGGTTTTTATCAGAAATTTTTTTTATGTGCAGACACGAGTGTGTCGATCCTGTTTTTCTGTGTCGACAAACGTATTCATAGATGAATCGGAAGAAAGAAAATTTGGGGATTGCCCAAATCGTATCGCAGCATTATTACATAAGTGGAGTGTGAGTTGTTTGCCTAGCAAATGGGTCAATGAACCCCGAAAAAGCAACCACAAAAATATATTACGCCAGGAAGCCGCCTGAAGGAAATGCCGTATGAATGGTGTGTGTGCGTAGATTGATGCGGTGTAAAAGTATTTCCTTGTTTTTGTATCCGAAATGGAATCTGCTGCCTGTTCTATTGCGCAGCAGTGCGTACGCGTATGAAATGAAAGTGCTTCCTTCGGGATAGTCCTTGATGTGTTTTTATCGTTACATACGACAACGATGCTATAGCATGGTGTATACTCACCCCATTGGTTGTGTGCGCGGTTACGCACAATATTTTCGAAAGGAAAGAGGCACACGCAACAAAATATCTATTGATTTTTGATACATACGCACAACGGCGTTTCTTCATTCAACACCATGTAACAAGTCCATCCACAGAGAATGGTCGAGTGATTCCGTTAGCTTGGTTAAAAACTGACGTTGCCATCGTTACTGAACCGCGCACATAATGCCATCCAATCTAACGCATCTTTTATTATATCGTTTGAAACCGTCGGAGGAATCCGTTTTTCTTTTGTTTGTCTTCACGTTTCTTCGTCGCTGTCGTCATTGTTTTTTTTTTCTATCTCAATAAAACGACACATAAAATGCAGTAGGTTAGGTAAACCCATGATTTAACAGCGAATGAGGAGAGAATGCACGCGCAGTTGAGATAATAAAATAAAAATTCAAATATTTTCTTAGTAAGCCTTAGTGTGCATTGTAGCAATGTTCTTTTAGCATGAAATTTTTCTTTTTTTGGGAGGTGCGTGTATTATGTCGTGCTCAGCGTTTTAAGCATTGCGCCTGTTCTATTTTATTGTTTGTTGCTTGTTGGTTGCAGAAGCAGCGCATTCAAAATTGAGCACGCATTTCTTTAGAAAGCCAAAGAACCCGACAGAATTTTCTTTTCTTCGTATTTTTCTTTCTGTGGCGTTCGTCATGGCGTGAAAACTTTCCACTTGCGCCTTTTATTCAAATGCACACTGTACAAACACGTTTTGGTTATGTAGTCAACGGCTTCATCAAATGTTTGTTGTGTAAATGCCCGAGTATTTTGTTTTCTTCAATGTTCATTCCGTGGGTACCAAAAAAATGTTGAACTAATGCGTTTCGTGTCGTTTCACGAGAGAAAGAGAAGAGACTCTCTCAAACCAAAAAAAAAAAAACAATAATCTATTTCCTGATTTACCGGTGCAGCTCAACCTATGCCACAGCCAAACTATGAAAAGAGCTAAACAATAAAATAACAACAACATCAAAGCCGATCGAATAGAAAAGACAAAACGAAATTCAAAATCTTTGTTGCATTTAAAATGCGTAGTTTTTTTTTTTTTAACGATGATTCAATCGGTTGTTTCTTCTTCATTTCTAGCGGCGTAGAAATGCGTTAGAACGTTTGAAAATGAAAGAAAAAATTCAAAAAGAAAACAACAATTCGATGAAATTCTCAGCTGGATGAAAATAAAACGTATATTCAAGTCAGTAAATGGATTTGCTTGTATCTATTTGTTTGGGTGCAAAACCAAGCGATGATTTCTCTTCATCGAATCGAATGAAGAAGAGAAGAAGAGAAAAAAAAAGGGAACTCTTTTTATGTTTGATTGAGAGCTCTCTGGTTCATTTCCATGGCAAAGCCGCACCATGTACATGAAACAACAAATGCGTCGACAATTCTCCCGATTTTATTTTCTCCGACTCTATGATGGGGATCTAATGCGTGCGATGCGTTTACTCCAGAAATAGAAATAGAATGCAAGAATGAGCGTGCGTGTTTGTTAGTGTATGAGTGGGACTCCGCTTACATCGCTTTTTATATAGAATGTTGTTTAGTATACGCATGCACTCACACACTTCGGAGTATCTCAATTGACCCATTTTTCCTATAAATACGACGAATTTTTTTTTTGTGTTGCGTTCTACGTTTGATATAATACCGAATGTCGGGTTCAAAGAACTTTTCGAATTTTTGTTTGACTTTTCAGGAACAACGAACATCTAAGCACTTACACGTGGCACAATGCATTGAGCATTGCATTGGAGTCGTACGGCTTTTGTATTGAGGTGCATACCGTTAATTCTTTTCTTCTCTTTACGCTTCATCTCCATTCGGCCGCATCTTTTCCCAAAAAAAAAAGAGAACTATTTACATTTTTTTACAATGTTATAAACTTTGAAATGAATACGAATGGTTCATCGATATGAATTTTGGAATTTTCAGATTTTTTTTTTTTTTAAATTATGGTAATTTTCTAATCATAATCTATAATTATAATAAAATTATGCCTTTTCAATGAACATGAATTTGAAATAAGTCAGTACAAATTAAAATACACAACGGAAATTCTTTGTCGAGACAAAAAATGGTTCAAAAGCTTGTTTACGTATATTGGTATATTCTAGCAAAAGTAGGTCTTATTTGTTGTTGTTGTTTTTTTGTCATTCGAAACTTTATCAAACGAAACATGCATACTTAGATGAAATGAATACAAAAAAATAATCAATAAATAGAAGAGTATTACATAAAGGTTTTTACACCTGCTGCGTACTTTTAGGCAGCAGCTTTTCCGGGTCACTTTTTTTAGCGATTACAATATAAGTGTAATAAATACTCGCGATAACGCTGATATTAATACCAATGCAATTGAGCCATGAGAATATGTAGTCGCCGCCGATGAACATGCCGAGATAAGAGACAAACACATTTTTGAAGCATCCCACCATGGCTGTTGTTAGTGCTGAATTGTATTGTGTACACAAAAATGTGGAATAGGTAAGAATGAAGCCCATAAAACAGCTTGAGAAAAATTGTGCAGAAAACCAGACGTTTGCCCAATGTTTGTATTTAAAAGCTGTGTGTAAATCACCAGTGAACCAAGCGAGTACAATGGCAGGTACGATCATAAGCAATGAATTGTAGAACATTACTCCATATCTGTTTATGCTGTCAGCTATGTCCAGTTTTTGCTTAATATAAACTCCATATGCAGCGGTCATGAAATTTGCGAGCATCACATATGAATAACCCACGATCGTGAATGTTAAATCGTCAACGGCAGCCACAAGTGCACCGCTAATCATGCACCACACACTTATTTTAACCGCCAGCGATGGTTTGACACCCAATATTTTGATTTCCAACAGCATCGTCAACAAAATTGAGAATCGTCGAAGTGCCGTAAACATTGGCAATGGCAACGCTTGCGTACCACCCAATCCGGTTACCATGTTTCCTAAGTGAAAAAACGGCAATGGCATCATCTTTCTAGGAATATCACTCTTGAAATCCGGGAATGTAATCACATCCATTTGTTTACCAACATATAGTACAATAATGGCGGCCGCTAATTGACCGATACTAATCACGAGAATCGACGGGAAATGCCATGATGTGAGCACCGTTTTATTGACAACAGTTAGAAAAAACGAAGCAACCCCATAGAATAATGCACTGCCAATTTTCTTCCATAATTCAGAACTTTCTAGCACATTTCCATTACAATTTAACTGTTCATCTTCAGATGAATCTTCTTCTTCTTCGTCGATAGGTATCAACTTGTAGGTTTTGATAGATTTTGTTTTTCTCATTTTTTGCTTATCACTCAATTTATTCGCTTTCGCTCTGAATTTTGAATTAAGACTGATCACAATTAAAATCGTTTGGTTGTAATTATCGGTAATAAGTATCGACTTTGTGTCACTTGCAATTATTTTAACGACACATATCGCTAAACAAACCGATGTATTTACTGTATCGTCTACTGTTGACGTTTATTTATTTATATATAAGACAATTTTTTATTTAAAGAATTGAATTTTTCAAGTAAAATAAAACAAAAATGAATTCATCATTCAAACGAAGTAGCTGTACTAAAATAATAATCGAGAATAATCTTGCATTTATTCGGCGTTGGACATGTGTGAATTCGAACATCTTAGCCATTTTCCATGCTATTTTGGAGAATCGTTTCTATTTTCTTGTGAGTGAGCGGTAAATGAATGTTTTTTATGCTGATTTAGCTTGAAATACGATAAAATTGTTATCAGGAATTACGTCACACTTTTGCAGTCGATCTGAAAATAAACACAATGAAATGGGTTTTATTTCGTTTCCTGTGGGAAATGGTGGTCATGGACATAGAAATTGTGATAAAAATCGAGACACTTGAAATATTTAAAAAAAAACCTTGTAAGTCATAACTTATGAATCATCAACATTTTGTACTTAATTTAATTTTTGATAGTGAAAAAGATAAAAATATTCTAAAATTGTTTCTATGCCCATAGGAGACGTATGATTGTTAAAAAAAAAATATGGTCGTGCATTATGTGAATGCTATTGAGGTGCGGCAGCTGTTGTGGATTTGTGCACCATTTCAACCCATTTTCATTAATTTGTTCATATTTGTTGTTTCTGCGTGCGAAACATTATTTACATTAAAACACCTGTATCGATACTTGAGACATATCGATGCTAATAATGAATAATGATGTCTTTTAACGTACTTTGAGTGATTCGATGCATCGATCAGCGAGAAAAACGAATTTTGCCAGTGTAAAATTCATCTTTTTCGCTTATTTAAACAGATTATTTAAATTGCAGGTTGCCAAGTGCAGAAGAGCTGAAGCTATAAGCCATTTTCTTGATAGGATCAACGATTTCTTAAATATTGCCACGTTAAATCACACGTCAGAGTGCTTGACTTTGAAATTGATAAATGTTTACTTATGTTCGCATTTGATGAAATCGAGCAGAAATCCAAGGGATTCAGGCAAACAATTCATGATTGAAATATGATGTGTTCCTCCTAAATCAATGGCATTTCCAAACGATTATTTGTGTGCTTTCGTTGTAGCTTACGTTGAAATATCCAATTTATTTGTTATTATTATCAGCAAAATCAAATCAACGGCTTTTTGTTTTGACAACCATTTCGGGCTGAACATTTAATGACGTCAAATAATATGTATATATGGAACCATATCCAACGAATAGGAGCTTCAACATTCTGGAGCATAACGAATCCTAATGCGACGTAATACAACACGAGGAGTCATTGTACACATAAAGAAACGAAAAGAGGGAACGTGCAAGGAACATCTCCAACCACTACTTTATTGAGAAACATAAAATATCGCCGCTTCGAGATTCTTCGACGTAATGGCTGAAATGTTGATGCTTCGTGTAAAATTGGGGGAAAAAAACCAACTCCCCGTGTATATAAACCGTAGGTTTCCTTATTTACTTTGGCACCCTACTTTCAAATTGTTTACATAAGCAAAGTCAGGAACGGAACGCTTTTTACCCATTTTTCTTTCTTCATATCCAGAGAATCAAACAAACAAACAGAACATTTAGGGCCTTCGAACGCCATTTCGAGAATGGGAGAGTGTTTTGTGCATGCGATTAATGCTTTTGACAAATCAAATGAAACGCGATTCAGCCGCTGGCAATTGCTCGGCAAACCTATATTTTGTTGTGATAATAATGCAAACAAGCGATAAGAAACTAGAAGGATTTCTTAAAACAGTTTGTTTCCCCTACGTTTGAATTACTATTTTTAAGAAATTCAACTCATTTCGACGGTCTGAGGTCGGCTATTGACTCGGCGAGCGATAAAATAAATGAAATACAAAGCTCAACTAAGACGCACAATAGCTTGCGATGCGATAATCGAATAGTGGATTTTTTAATAATTTTTCTCTTTCATTTTTGTTTAAAAATGGTAATTTCAATAAGAAAAATTCTCGTTCAATCGAAAGTCAAACGAGTAGAAATATTCATTGGGCTCACGTTCAAAAATAGTAAACGGACGGTTTGGTCGAAGTAACGAAGCTTCATAGCTGCGGCAAACGCCAGCGGTAACCGGCAGTCATCTAAAAAGCAATTCAATTTTTGTTTACAAACAGAACAACTTGAAAGCTGTATAACACTTTCTCCGACGATGCGTTGTTATGCGTTACGAAGCGTTTGATTTTGTTAACCAAACTGCGTAGTATGCGAAGCAAAACACAGACACATCAGCTGTTTATGTTTTTGAATTTTTTTTCTTGGATTTGTAGAACTTTCGCCTATTTATCCACTGCGCAAAAATTGCTTCCGAAACTTTTGCGAGTGGTAAAAATGTTCATTTGTCATGTCATTGATATGAAATGCTGTAAAAAGCTTTGGCAAAATTCAAACGATGAGACCGTATTTGCAGTGTGATATTCTCTCGGCGCCACATTGAGCATCAAATTGTCATAATTCGGTGCATAATACGCACACTCGTCATCCAGTGAATTCTGTTGGTGTCCGAGAGCAAAACAAAAACAAAAAGAAAACGAACACGAACACCAACCACATATGCAGAGCACTCATCTCAACAGTGAGTGAGTGAATACATTGACATGAATCGCGAATCGGTATAGAATGTTTGAAGTAAACAAACGCGAATATATGCAATTTTCATATGCGTCCGTCAACGGTTTGAGAGTGTGAATGTGTACACTTTCGACCCAAATGAGAGAGATAGAGAGAGAGAGAGACAGAGAGAGAGAGAGAGAGAGAGAGAGAGAGAGAGAGAGAGAAGAGAGAGAGAGAGAGAAGAGAGAGAGAGAGAGAGAGAGAGAGAGAGCAAAAAACAAACATTGTTTATTGGAGTTGATTGCCAATAATATTCTTCGGTGTGTTGTGGATGCTAACACTCGGCGCCGTTGTGAGTGAGTGAATGTGTTTAGTGTGCTTGTGCATGCATGTGTTGTGAGCATTTAACGTCGCGTTTCGCTCTGTGTATTGTTGGAAAAGAGACGTTTTTCGATACACAATTACACATATACAGCGCAAAAAGAGTTCTTTTTCTTTCACCAGTGCAATTATAGCACACAAAACAACCAGAAGCAGGAATTTTGAACGAAGAGAAAAGTGTTCTACAACAAGAAGAATATTTTTATAACCAAATTGACCATACATTTTTCAGCTGCAATTTCTGAACAATGTCCCATTTGTATGATCGAAGGTAATTTTGCCATACATTTGCCGTAATAAAGTGTTTGTTTTGATGAGTGTCATGCCTTTACAAGAAAATTATTGACCCGGTGCAGTTTTTCGTGTTTGATTGAAAACCTTTAAAAATCAATTCGCAAAGTCAAAGTGAATGAGGGAAAGAGAGACTGAGACGTTCTGTGATGGGTTCTTAGTGTGTGCATCTGTGGCAGCGGTGGCAGCGGCGACATCACTGTTCTGCATATAACCGTGATAAATATGGCGTCTTTTGTATTTTTTACTGTGCATTTATTGTCCGAAATTTGTTGCATTTTACGTTGGCAAGCAATTGCTATGGCATTTTTTCATGTGAAAATGCAAATGTTAATGCGAGATCCCTATTTTGTTCTGGTTGTCACTGTTCGATTTTATTTAAATTTAGCCAACAAATCGATAACATTTGAAATGAACTTTTTTTGAATTTTTTTTTCTTTCCAAAGTATACTGCGATGTTTTTTAAAATTGTTTGCTCATTTTTTTCGGGTATTTATTTTGGTCTATAGAAATGATGATTCAATCAATGATTCTGATATGTTTCACCCGGTTGGTATGGAGCCGGACGGTGCCATTGAGAGTAATTGGAGTGAGATTATTGACAATTTTGATGACATGAATTTAAAGGAGGAACTTTTGCGAGGAATTTATGGATACGGTTTTGAGCGGCCATCGGCAATTCAGCAGCGTGCTATTATGCCGTGTGTTCGTGGTCGCGATGTTATTGCTCAGGCACAGTCTGGAACGGGAAAAACGGCTACATTCTCCATTGCAATTCTACAACAAATTGACACATCCATTCTCGATTGCCAAGCTTTGATCTTGGCACCGACACGCGAACTCGCTACACAAATCCAAAAAGTTGTGATCGCACTCGGAGACTACATGAACGCTGAATGCTTGGCGTAAATATAGATTTCAAATTTATTGTGGCATTGATTCGGGCAATTTCGGAACAAAATCAACTTTTTTCTGTTGTTGTTGTTGTAAAATTTCAGTTGCATCGGCGGAACGAATGTTCAAGAGGATATGCGTAAATTAGACATGGGAACGCAGCACATCGTGGTTGGTACGCCAGGCCGTGTCTACGACATGATTAGTCGTAAAGTGCTTCGCACTAAAGCAATCAAACTCTTCGTACTCGATGAAGCCGACGAGATGCTATCGCGCGGTTTCAAAGATCAGATTTATGATGTTTTCAAGTTATTACCTTCCGATGTTCAAGTGATTCTACTCTCAGGTAATTTGTTGAAATTAAATCTTTCGAAAATATCGCAGATGTCTATTCAACTTTTCAAATCAACATAAATTCTTTCAAATTTTAATTCTATCCAGTCGATTCTCTCTGAGGTCTCTTTTCCCCAATTTTGAACCTTCAAAATTATCCGATTTTCGTTTAGTTTTTAAGTTGAACATCATTCGATTGTATAACAAACTAATCACCAATTTGTGTGCAAATTTCAGCCACAATGCCGAACGATGTTCTTGATGTGAGCAAATATTTTATGCGCGAACCAGTTAGAATTCTGGTGAAGAAGGAAGAGCTCACGTTGGAGGGCATCAAACAATTTTTCGTGAATGTCGAACGAGAAGATTGGAAAATTGGAACTTTATGTGATTTATACGAAACGCTGTCAATTACACAGTCCGTAATATTCTGTAATACCCGACGCAAAGTCGACTATTTGACCGAAGAGATGAGTGCAAACAGTTTCACTGTGTCGGCATTGCACGGAGATATGGATCAACGCGAACGTGATTTAATCATGAAACAATTCCGAAGCGGATCGTCTCGGGTGTTGATTACCACGGATCTGCTGGCTCGCGGCATTGACGTGCAACAAGTTTCATTGGTCATTAACTATGACTTACCGTCGAATCGTGAAAATTATATTCATAGGTAATTTAAAAAGTTCAATCTTTTCGCCAATAGCAAGTAATCTCGTATTCAAGCACTTTGGCATTCATCATGCTAGGCTATTGACATTTCCAACATTGAAGTCCCTAATCATGTTTTTTTTTTCATCCAATACAGAATTGGACGTGGTGGTCGTTTTGGCCGCAAAGGAGTTGCAATTAATTTTGTGACTGAAAAGGATAAGCGTACGCTACAAGACATAGAGACCTTCTACAATACTCGTATCGAGGAAATGCCAGCCAATGTTGCCGATCTGTTCTAAAATTTGCACACACACACACACACACATCACATGCACGCACGCACGCATTCAATTTTGGACGTGCCCTTACTCAACCAGCCACTCTGAATCAAAGATATTGATCAAATCTTTGCGAAAAGGCTTTGCAAACAAAACAAAAACACACACAAACAAACACATTTATTTGCTAATCCAATTTTCTTAAGATCTTCATCAAAACAAACAACATATAGCGACCACTCTGCGCTAACACCTTTTCAACGTTTATACACATTCACTACTCAAAAATGCAACAAAAACACTTTTCTAAGCAAGTAACAATGTATTATTATTATTATTTTCGATATATATGATATTGTTTTAATGAAGAAGAAAAAAAACACACATTTGATGTGGGCTAGAATTTCATTTTATTTACACAACAATCCTGTTATTGAAATACATCTCTATCTCTGTGTCTCGTTGAACAACGTGAACGAAACAACAACAATAAAATTAGAAATGCAGTAGCAGCCAAATACAATGATCAATACGAAAATTTGTAGCAACCAACATTTAGAATGATAAGATTTACTAACTTAAGTTACACATTTGTCTGTAGGCTCCAAGCAGCATTACAAAAACAAATAAAACAACATCTCTCAATTAATCGGAGTGATTTTTCACTTGTTTTCCTGAAATGAACACCTTGTTGATATTGCGATCGTCACCGACATACAGGAACTTCTGGATCATTTTGTCCAAGCGGCTGTGTGATGCGCTGGACTTTTCGGCTACGGATAATGGAATGTCGAACAAATCCAATGGCTTATTCGAAATGTCAACCAAAAGAGCATCGAACTCTTTTCCAACTGCAAAATTTCCGCACACATTGTCAAGGGCTAACGCACGTGCACCACCCAAAGTAGCTAAGTATAGAGCGTTCTTGTATTCCAATGCCTGATAATCCTTGTTGCAATCGTCGCTTGGGTGTTGGATTTGGCCGGTGCCGAGAATATTTTGCTTTTTGATTATATTCAAACTGAGCGAAACGTTCAAAGCATCTTGAAAGGGGAAAAAACAATAGAAGAAGTATCATGTGTCATGAGAGAAGTATCATGTGAAAGGCAGAAACCAATTTTGTTTCATTGTACACCGAAGTTATGGCTTGAATGTTCTAAAAAAACGACCAATCGTACACACTCACCATGAATCGCAAGAAGAATGGAAACATTATGTCCACCGGCAACATCAGTGCCCAATCCAACTTTGATGCCTGCATTCAACAATCTGCGCACATCACAAAAGCCCGATCGAAGTTTTGTATTTGATGTTGGACAATGGGCGATTGCCGTGTCGTACTTTTTGAGCAGTTTCAATTCGGCATCTTCCAAATGAACGCCATGGGCCATTATGCATTTATGCGTCAGCAATTTATTATCCTCATAGACTTCGGTGTAGGTACCCTTCTGGAACATACGTTTGACCGCTTTAATTTCATCGCAATTTTCCGAAATGTGCGACTGAATGTGTAAATCATACTTGGTCGCCAAGCCACCCAATCCCGTCAACAATTCGGATGTGCAACTCAATGCAAAACGTGGTGTGATGATCGGCTTCACCAACGCACTTTTCAGATTGATGACACCATTGATGAATGTTTCAGTATCTCGCAGCGAATCTTCTGTCTTTTCGATGTAATAATCGGGTGATGAGGCATTCGAACAAACCTTTCCGATTAGAGCTCGTTGACCTTGTTTAACAGCTTCCTTGGCTAAGATCAATGAACTGTCCTTGTAATTGGAGGCAAAATACGAGGCCAGTGTCGTACCACAGCTGATCGTTCGACGAACAACCGCTGAATAGACTTTCGAAGCAAAATCATTGTCTTTGTAAGCAGCTTCTAGGGGGAATGTATACGTTTCCAGCCATTGCAGCAACGGAAGATCCAAACCAACACCAATATTCGGATATTGAGGTGCATGAATGTGACAGTCAACAAAACCAGGCAACAGAAATTGAGACGATGTTAATGTTGTCACCGGTAATGTGCTCGAGTATTCAGCTGGAAGCGATGCACGATCTCCAATGCCCACGATTTTGCCATTTTTCACGGCCAAGAAACCATTTTCAATCGTTTCCAAGTCATCCAATGATTTGCTGTGAGCAATTGAACCCAGAAATAAATGATCCATGGTTGATGGTGTGCCTGAAAAAAAAATGCAGAATTTTTATTGAAATACAAGAAAAAAGTACAGTTGTTACAGCAACTACACAAAACAAAAATAAAAAGAGATAAACTCATTCGAATAGACAAATCGACTGGACGGTAATTAGCAAATATGTCAGTTAAAATTTTTAATGCAACTAGTTGAAAAACATCAGTGAATGACTGATCGATTGAATAAATTAAACGATAATTCATTAAATTCAATACATTTTGTAGACTTCGTAAGTGAAACTTAAAATATGCCAATATTGTGAGTGTCAATCCTGATTCTAACCAGAATCGTTTAATATACATGATAGTTGGTAAATTATAAGCATTTTCACCTTTGGAACCGATTGAAACCGGTCCGAAGCCTACTTTATATGAAAAAACCAGACAATCTCGTTGGAATGGCTATTCAATATATAAAATCATAATTGATCAAAAGTAATTCACAACCAACAGAAACGAGTGGAACGGTCTCGCGACATAACGCGTTTTTTTCCATACTCTCAACCGTTTTTTTTTTTGCTTTTCTAAGCCGAAAAAGTTGATAAAAATAAGAATATTCACATTCGATTTGATCTTTTGTGTGACATTGAAAACAATCACAAAACGATGATCGAATAAAAAGAGGTTCGAAGTTGCAATCTGTAGTATGATGTAGTGATTACTGATAAAATTTTGAAAAAAAAAACCATTTTTTCCATTTTTCATATTGATGTGTTTACAAAATTTTTGTTATTCCAATTTGCCGTGTTTTTTCCCTACTTTTTTGTGTTTATGTCATAAAGTTTATGTTTTTTCATCGAAAATAATATTTTTCGCAGATAATCAATTGAGATCGGAAAAATATAGGAAGAAAATCGCTATGAAATGCACACGTGTGTTTAAAGTTCGCATGCTGTCAAGAAATATGCACATTTTATTGTGAAATAAAATAAAATAACTCAATAAAAAGTGTATAAATAGACAATTTCGAATTAAATTGCTAATTTCACGAGTGTGATGTCAGATGATCAGTTGCTGAAAGATCAAACGAAATCGTTTCCACTCAAAGTGATTAATTAGTTGAGTGATGCAATGCAAATGATGAATATACATAATAGTTCTATGAAACTGTTCATAAACGGATTTTAAATGTGAAACCTACTACGTCGATGCGGCTTTCGATGAAGTACGTAATATACTAATATAAATATGAAATGACTTCAAGTCGCGAAGCGTGTGTCAAACATGAGGTTTTCTCTTATCACTGGAAAAACTAAGTGCAGTTATTTTTTTTCGATTTGTGTCTCTGTACTCGAATAGAGATAATGTGGATGATTCCAGTTTTTTATGGTTCTAAATACAAAAAAATTCAGCTTTTAATGAAGTTAAAACATCAACAAATGCTTTGACATTTAGCCTATGCTCTTCTGACACATGGAGTAATTAAGCGCGAAATATAAACGGAAAAAACTTTGCTTGTTTTCGTATTATTTACTCTGATTTACTAAAGTACTTAAGTTTCAGAAAGATTTCGAAAATATTCCCAAGTCCAATGTAAATAAAGCGATAACAACAATAGAAATCAACTGAAAATTTGAAAAGAAATCACAATAATTTAAGCATTGAATTTTGCCACCAGATGGTGTGTGTATCGCATCAATGTGTCATATGAATGCTTATCATCAGTGTTATTGTTAGGCCAAAGCATTGAATGAACCAGCCAAAAATTGTATTCCATTTTTTTTTTTTCATGTTTCAATCAAAAATGCCATTCAGATGACATTAGTTTGAATCGAAAGCATCAAAAATTATTACTACGTTTAAGTGAAAATCCATCAAATTCCCATTTGGCACTTGACATTTCCGTGTTTCGACAGCACCAACACAACAACCGTTGTCTGCGTAGAGGAAAACAAACTGAGCGAATGTTCACGATGTTTTAACGTAGACAAATAAAGACGATGACGTGTAAAGTGTACATGTAGTGGTGTGTTCTATACACGCACACAGCAGCAGCGAAGCAGCGATACAGACGGTGAGCGAGTTATTATCATCGACCACGACAAGACACCAGAGATAGTCGAGAGGTCTTTTTTGTTGGTTTCTGTTCATTTTCAATTTGTTATGTGCCTATTTTGTACGAATTTATTCCGTTTCTATCAATTTTGGTTGTTCGATGTAAATTGACAGCGTGCATTGTCGCAACGTAATAAACGAGTGAACGGTGTACAAATGTGACCAAATGACAATTGCTGCGGCCGAAAAATAAGTGAAAGAAAGAAAAAAGTCATATCGTGTACAAAGTGAAAATTGTTGTTATAGGACTTTGGATCTGTTTATTTTGGTAGTGGAAACGTACTGGTGAAACAGAAGAGGAAAAAAAAAACAGAAACCGTACGATGAATTGTAAACTGAACACGCGGACTGTATAGTACACCAATAAAGCGAATAGAACGGTGAACATTAGAAATATACAGACCGCATAAAGACCACACGAGAGAGACAGAGTGCGAAAGAGAGAGAGAAAAACAATCCCCGAAATTAGAATATGGTATTTATTGTTTTTCTGTCGAATGTATGACATTTGCTTCGATGTGTTATCGCTGTCGCTTTGTCCCTGTAACAAAAAAGCATGCAATAAGTCCTTCAAAAAACTAACAGTCGAACGAATATTACACAGTCAAACGCAATTACGATTATCTGTTCCTTTGGTTCGCGATTTGAATTTATCAGGATTGTTTTTGTTTTTGTGATATGTTATTGTCGTCGTCGTCGTCGTCGTCGTCGACGACATTGTCGTTTCAATTGCTGATATCGCGTTGCGATTAAGACGACAGAATGACATAAAAAAAGGCAACGAAGTTGACGAGCCAAAAAAGCAATGAGTGTTTGTGTGACAGAAGTGATTCAATTGTCGCGTAAGTTGAAAATCGAAACAACACACACTGGCCCATATCATTTTGATGTGTGCACTTTTCATTCGATTCGAAACGCAATTTTTTTTTCCTTCATCCAATCGTATTGCGCTTAGTTGGGCTGCTGTTTTACATACAAAAACAAAAAAAAAGCATTTGGCGCATAGTAAATGAATATTTATCAGCCGCTGTTTGTCGCAGTCGCTCTTTCATCTTCTTCCATACTGTTTCGCCTCGGTATTTTTTCTTCACTGTCGTTGTTATTTCTTTTTCTTTCATTCGAATTATTATCAGATATTTTCGAACGTCGTCGGTGCGCGCGATTTAATTTGACGACTATAGTCATCATAACACACGGGCGATCCAGATTGTGTGGCCGCCGCTTTTTAACTTGAGCTCGTGGAATTCATTTTTATTTTGAACAAGAAAATATACGAAAAAAATACTTTGATATTCAAATTCATCGTCATAAATATTTCGGTAGTGTGTGGTTTTTGATTGAAATCAAAAGAAAAATAAAAATGATTCATGGAACCAATACACGCACAATGTTTACGTAAACCGCGCCAATCCACCGCAAATGAATGAATATCGAGTATGCAGAGTGCGGGTAGCCAGTGAGCGAGAAAGAGAAAAGTAAAAAACAAAACACACACACACACACAATACTCTTCTGTTGCTCTTCATTCGTTCGCCAAAGAGCGCGCAAAATAAAGACACATGTTCGTTTTGTATTGCGATTTAGACGGAGGCATCGATATGGCGTGTGTTCGAAATAGATACACACATTCTGCTATAGTCTATAGGATATAACAGCAAGTCATAGCCGCTAGATAATTATAAATTATTACATATTTACTCTCTCGTGGCGAGAACTCACTGTAAGCGCAAACACTCGACCGAGCTAGAGGAACGAAAAAAGAACAACAGAATAGTAGAGAAGCAACAAATAGCCGAGAAGAGGAGAGACGGAAAAAAAATAGTGATTCTGTTTGTGTTTTTGTATAAATAGTTCAATTGAGATTAATGATGTCGACAGTGCAGCTGTGAATCGGATACACATCGAATACTAGTCAAGACAAGCCCCGCAGTTTGAATAGCAAAAAAGAGATGTGATTGCTTCTTTTTTTCGTTTGTAGTTTGTTCGTTGTGTGATAGTGGCTGTGATTAAAAACCCATATCAATTTATTTACACTGTTCATTGCACTGTGATAAATACAATTTTTCGTTCGATTACGAGATTGTGTTTGTGTGTCTAATGATGGATTGAACATTAAATTAATTTTTGTGACGCTTGAAATGCATTAACTCGGTCGGCCGATGGGCTGTGTGTAAACGAAAACATCTAAGCTTAATTTTTCTTTGATTTCGACATTCATGCAAAACATCGCACGATTTGTGAATATAATTGCGTAGATTGGCGCGACCGCCGAAATCGTTTTGTATCAAGTATGTGCTTCGATCGCTTTGTGTATCAAGAATCGATCACTTCAAGTTCAGGCCCAATAAAGAATCGATAAGAAAATATTTCGCTTTTAAAATCATTTACAAATACAGAAACAATTGATCGATCCAGAACCATCTGATTGATGTTGAATGGCTTTTGCGTACTTTTTGTTCGATCGTACGATTAGTGTGCGTCAATTTCTGAAAAAGTTCTAATTTTTTCGTTGTACGTCATTTGGTGTGTAGATTTGATAAGAGTTGTACTCGAGAGCAGAGTGAACGTGAACCAAAAAACTTTTGACACAGACAAAATGGCACAAGGTGTGTCACATTTACTACGGGACAGTTGGTTGACATCCGCATCGGCACCGTCACCGCCAACGCCAACCTCATCGGCACTTCGGAATAGTGCAAAAATGGCGGACAAACAGGAAAAAGAGATTATACATTCGGGTCATTTTATGGTGTCACACTTTGAGGCTGAAGCACAGGATGACGAAGACTCCGAATTGCCAATGCCCGATCCGGATGAGAGTGGTGCCATCGTTCCATTGAACACATGCACCGATGTGGTCGCATTATCGGGCATCAACAATCGCAGCCAAGCCATCGTTGCAACAAGTGCGCGGCCAAACAATGCTGTAATCGACATTTCGCTGGCGAAACTGTTCAAATGCATGAACCTAGCTTACAGGTGAGTCACTTGCACACGAATACCACTCTCCACAATTCTTATCTAAAAGTTCATTCTAGTTCAATCACGACTCATTATTATTTTTGCTACTGTTGTTGCTGCTATGCAACACAAAATTCATCGCCAATTTTTATGTGTCGCTACTTTAATGTCATAGGCCCCAAATGAAAGGTTGTTTGTTGCGATAACGGCAACTCTGATTACGATTCGTTTGCATATTTGAACTCTGGACAAGAAATAGTCCAACACTGAATTGATATAGCCATTTTTAGTGGTTTGCTTGCATTTGTCGACTCGATCCGAAGGGCAACAAGCACAAAAAAAAAACGGGATCTACAGACAAATCCAATTAGAATACACTAAAATTGGGAATTTTCCGTGCGCGCAGGCGCATACACACGGTTCAAAGCGCGGGAAATGACAACAGTCGATCGATTGACTGAGGGAGCTAACGATGACATGAATTCATATCAATTCAAGAGATAGGGAGAGAGAAATACCATTTTGATCCCAAAAGGTTATCGCTTCATAAAACATATATTCTCGATTATTCAATTGGCACTTGAGAGTGTCGTATTAATTTTTTTTTTTTTGCATGGTAATCTATTACCTACCTCTCACGCCACAAGAAGATGTTTACACTCGAAAATTAAGTGACACGCGAGTTGAAATAAATTTAATCAAGACAGCGCAACAACAAAAACTATGCCAAATAGTTGATAAATATCCAGCGTAAGGCGCATACAATCCGTTGATAATTTCTTGAGAGATTATCAGCAGATTGCTGGACAACCTTTTCAAGTACACATGAGCAATCTAATTTTCCATTCAAAACGTGTGTGCGTACGTTATTCGGCGTATTTTGTGTTTGTACGTCAGTAAATGCCAATTGAATTGGTTCCGATGATTTTTTACGCGTTTTTTTTTTGCCCACAAACATATTCGGAAAACAGTATTTCATTTCTTATCAAGTTGTGTTATCGCCATTATCTTAACATAACTATTAGTATTTCGCGTGCAGAAGGCTTTTGAAATTATTCCTAGTTTTGTCAGCTCTTTTTGTTCATTGGCAATTTGCATCGCAACATCAGAAACGTGCGCACAACGAGTTTGTTTTGGTCACGATCATTCTCGATGGTACTCTTTTGTAACAATGGAATTCTTTCACGCCTTATCTGGGCGCGACAAAAATAGCAAAAATGGCAAAACAAAATCCACGCTGTGATAAAAAGTTAAAAGAAATTATCATATCAGTGATTTGAAAAAAATGATAAATATTTTGTTATCGCGCCAAATCAAGACCATGTATATTTTCAAGCGAAGAATAATGATCTGGAAACAGTCAATTGTGAAACTCAATGAAGCAGCAGACTTGTCGGCACACTCGTGGATTTAGCATTTCACTTGCTTTGGCGATTCGTGAGTTGCCGAAGCATCATATATGCAGTGCACTCGATATTTAACGTGAAAACCTATATTCCGTACATCGAAGTCGGCCAAGGTATGATTTCGTTTGCGCGTAGCGCGTAAGCAATTCACTTGCGATATATAGTATATAGGGATTCACGTTATATCGCAAGTGAATTGCTTATGCTACGCGCAAACGAAATCATACCTCGGCCGACTTCGATGTACGGAATATAGGTTTTCACGTTAAATATCGAGTGCACTGCATATATGATGCTTCGGCAACTCACGAATCGCCAAAGCAAGTGAAATGCTAAATCCACGAGTGTGCCGACAAGTCCACTGCTTCATTGAGAATGTGAAATAAAGCTGCTCATCGCATCTAGTGTGGCAATTTATTGTTGTTTATTATTCGTCACTCGGTTTTATTGGATGCATTTTTGTTTTGATCGTTCGAAATGTGAAATTCAGCTGTCTCTTCGATGGCGGCAGCAGCGGCATCGCACGACAAAAACAAACCAGCAAAAAAAAATTACTGAGCGAAAAATAAGCCCGAGAAGAGATAGCAAACACAAACATTATAATGGCCGCGAAGCGAAGTTTCTGTTTATTCGGTCGATTCTTGCTACCAATATTCTTCGACGATAACATAAAATGAAATTTAAATAAAATTTCTATAAATAAATTCAAATATAAACGGATGACAGAATGCACTTTAGCTCGCTGTATTCGCTGATAGAAGCGAATTTTTAATTTTTTGTTCCTTCTTCTTTCCTTTCGTTTCGATTTGGTTTGCTCAATGCCGTGAATGTTTTGAGAGAGAGAGAGAGAGAGAGAGAGAGAGAGAGAGAGAGAGAGAGAGAGAGAGAAGAAGAAGAAGAAAAGAAAGAGAGTGGACGCAAGCGGCATAAAAAAAACTCAGCAGTGTTTGTTTACTTTCATGGGCTCTATGTATGCGTTTGCACTTTGATCTCGAAAACTTTAAAAAGCATTCATAACGAATGTACGCAGCAAATGCGCTTTCCTTCGAACGTATGCATCTGCTACGTATCGGTGATAGAGTAACAACAATATTTTCATAGAAATCGGCGTTCGTTTCTCGGGTTAATGCTTTTTCGTGTTTATTTTTAACGTGATTCGCGCCACTCTATCAATTTTCCCTGTAGATTCCATATCACCCGAGTCACAAGCGATAATTGCTGCTGTATTTTTTTTCTTCTATCCTACTGAAAACCGCAACAGCACGTGAAATTTGGTGGCATCAAAAGCAGATACGACACAAATGATTGCGATGAGGAATATTACAAATACAGTCGGATTATTCAGCGTGTTTTGTGGTTCATTCGCCGCTTAAAATTTCTGCAAGGTTTATTGAAATAGAAAAATTCATTCTTTTCGTTGAAAATGGGAATGGAATTCGACAAAGCGTTATCTGTTAAAAAAAAATAAGGTTGGCGAATTTGAGGTTCAGCAGTTTTTATGACGGGTTCAAAGTTTACAAATATTCCGAACCTAATCATTTTCTAAGGATGCAAATCGCTATCAGCTTCCATTTAATCAGCGATAACTTTTGTTTTACACTTGGCGAACTTTGTTTTCCTTCATCTCCTCCTCTGGGCAGGAAAAAAAAATCACATTTTCATTCTGTCTGCAGCCGCGTTGCTTTATCATCAAGTCAAGTTGTTTTATGGTTTTCGTTTAATTACAGGCAAAAGTTGACATCGCCCAAATGGAACAGTTTTAAAGGTATTCGCCTGCGTTGGAAAGATAAAATCCGATTGAACAATTTGATTTGGAGGTGTTGGCACATGCAATGTAAGTTGAAATCTGTGTATTTATCTCATCAATGGTTGTGTTATTGCCACTAATTAGAGTTTTTTTTTTTCATTTACATTTACGTTTATTTCTCCGTTGCCGTTGCCACCATCGTCGTCATGTGTTTACAGTCATAATGAAAAAGAAAACGCCAGTGTGTCAGTTTGCATCACCGCTTGATGTTGATTTGCACAGTAAGCCCGAATCGGTTGTGCTCGAAGGCAAATATTGGAAGCGTCAATTCGATGTTATTAAAGCCGAATACATGAAATGGCGAAAGTTTTATCGTAACCGTGGACTCGCCAACGCTATACTAGATACAGTTGAGTAACGACCGCCTTTTGTTTCATAGCGTGGAATTTATCATATCTCACACATTCACACAAACACGCGCAACCAAATCGATCCAATCTCTTCTTGTTTCGATGTAATAATTTTCATTTCTTGTTACAGGTTAGCGAAATCGATGTTTTTGATTGGTCGCCGGCAACAAGTGATAAGAATTTAATGAGTATTGATGACTACTGCTGGACAGCTGATACATTATTCTCAACCATTAATTCGACACCGTTCCCATTCCCGGATCCACGTGAAATAGGTATGTTACGAGTTTTTTTTTTTCTCCTATTTTCGGGGTTTTTTATCATTTTTGTTCAAGTTTAGCCTTGGGATCGAACTTTTTTTTAAGCCCAAGTTGAACTGATTTATCGGTATTTCTCATATTTCACCAACTTGAATAATTTGTCTAGTGTCTAATCAATAAATAAGCTTTTAAGGTCAATCATAATAATTCAATGCGATTTTTTTCCACAGCAAGGGCTGGTATCGCTGATTTTATTCAGCCAAGCTTAGGGCCGCTACAGCCAAATCTGGATGATTTTATGAATGAAGGCAATTTACAAGGTAAGATGTTCGTTTTTCAGTTGAATTTTTCCACAATATTTGTCAATTTACAATAGCTCAACTGAATTTTCGTTTGTTTTTTCGCCGTAGACCTCATCAATAGTCATTTATCATCGCGTTTAGCGCCTGTGCCAGAAGAGGTTAGCGACGACGGCATGTACAGAAATGACATGTCTTATGATTTTCCATCTATTATGGGTATACATCAAATATATTCTTTTTCTTCATTCATTTTCACGAGCTAAAACTGTGAAATCATTTTCAATTTTCAGATTCAGATTCAATGGAATCGACTATGATGCAGCAAGCGACAATCACAGATGTCACAAATTTAAATGCCCGCAATCAGTTGAACGATCCATTGATATGTGCTTCCGATGAGCGAACGATGCAACAATCGCAAAATTCACCGAACATGCTGCCATTCAATACACAAACCCAAGCCTCAGTCTTGCCATATCAGAGCAATATCTCACAGACGCAAGCAATGCAACAGCAAAGTATGGGCCAATCAAAGTATGGTAATGTGGTGTCATCTCAGTCAATGCTCAATCAAAGCAGCGCATACATGGGTGCGAGTACAAATGCGGCGGGGATTCAGCCACAAAATGATCTATCGAATTTGACGGGAGCAAAGAAGCGAGTACCGATCAAAGAGCGTGGTCTTCGTTCACAGTTGTTTGGTCGACGAGAGCCACATAATTATGATAAATCGACACCCACACAGCATCAAACCAATCTGTACAATCAAATGTTGTCTCAACAAAATCGAAACCAGCTTCAGATGCAACAACAACAGCAGCAGCAGCAACAGGCAGCGCAACTCACAAACGCAATGAGCGCCACATCAATTTATAGTAGTACAAATTTTTTAGGCACGCAAAATGTCCAATCACCGTCAACAAACAGCTATGTGAATGCATTAAATTTAACGTCATCTAATAATTTCAATATGCCACAAAACCAAATGAGCACAAATATGATGAGTATGATGTCAAATACGACACAACAGCCGCAAATGCAAGCAGCACTGCAACAGCAAACGGGCAACGTGAAAACGGGGTCAAATCTGTTGTCGCTGTTGTCGATGAAAAGTCCATCGAATGCATCCGATATTGATATTAGTCAACTAGATCCGTACAAAATGGGATCGTCGGGCTCATCGTCTGGCGCATACAAGCCATATTCATTACAGCAATCGGGAAAAAGTGCATCATTTCAACAGTTGCCACAACGAAATTTGCCGATGTCATCGCCGTCGTCGGTGACACCACAACTGAATCCATTGCTAAGCGAACGGCAACAACAACAACAACAACAACAACAACAACAACAACAGCTCACTGTTAACACAGCGGCAATTGACAAAGAAATGTTCCGTTCGAAAAGTCTGCCGATGAATAGTACACTGCAATTGCCTGTGATGCGAGAGGAATCGTTTGTCATACCAAAGTATCAAGCCTCCAAAGCGGCGTCAAACCGCATTCGTGCCAGAAGCAATTCAATGATTTCAAAGCAACAACATCACAGTACACCGTCGCTACAGTCGGCAACGAGTGAACCCATGCTGAAAACCCTTGCACAATTGCTCACATCAACGTCGACGGGCGGCAGTTCATCAGTTACTAATTTACAACAGTCCAACGTACTTCAAAATGCCAACGTTGTTTCACCCAACGAGATAACGATGTCACAATCACAGCAGAAAAAACCAATTAACCAATTCCAAAGTCCATATGCAACGCAATTCTCGCAACCCTTATCGCCTGATAACAAATTCATCGGTTCACCCAGCACAAGCACCGCGACACTTTCATCGTCATTATCGCCCGGATCGAGCGGAGAGTCAATGCAACGACGTGTTGGGCACATTCATGCCGAACAAAAACGTCGCTATAACATTAAGAATGGTTTTGATATGCTACACACGCTGATACCTCAATTACAACAAAATCCAAATGCTAAACTAAGCAAAGCAGCTATGCTTCAGAAAGGAGCCGAATACATTAAACAATTACGAACTGAACGAGACGCGATCAATCAGAAAATGGACGTATTGCGCAAAGAACGCGACACACTCAATAACTCGTTGAAGTGAGTCGATTTTGAGGAGAATTTTGTCCGAATTCGATTTTATATGACAATTTCTTGATTGTTTTCTCTTCATTTAATTTTTTTTTCGAATTCATTTTTTGTTTTTTTTTTCTTCTTTAAATATTTTTTTTTATTTAAATCCTCTTGATCGTATTCATTGAAAAATTTTCCTTGTTACTAATGAACAAAATTCTTTTCTCCAGTCATTTGCACTCAGTTCTTCCCGCAAACGGAGCGCCAGTATCACGACAACGCACCAGTCGCGTTAAGGAAATGTACACAGAATACATTCGAGAAAAAACGTTACAAAATTGGAAATTTTGGATTGTAAGTGAAAAAAATGTTCATGTCAATGCCCAATGAGGGACACGATCTCAATTGTGCCGTTACAGAGAAAATTGTTATGATAAAAAAGTGTAAAATCAATTCCATTTCCATTTTCAGCTTGGCCTCATTTTTGAACCCCTTTTAAATTCATACAATGCAACAGTTTCTGTGGCCAGTATGGAAGAGTTATATCGATCAGCGATGATTTGGGTGGATCAGCATTGTTCTTTAGTTGAAATTCGTCCAGGTATTGATTATTTTGATTTCATTGCATTATTAAATTATATTTGTCTACTTGTTGAAGTTCGAATCAGACGAGTAAATATTTTCAAAGTGTATCAAATTTCTGTGCAATTTTTGAATGAATTGAAAATCGGTCATTGAGCCTCGATAATCCAATCCAATTTGTTTTCTTGTATTTGTAGCTGTTTCGGACAAGCTTCGTTATTTGTCAACAACGACCGATATTCTATCTGATCCGCCATCAACGTTGCAGGAGGAGGTATTGAAAGCGATATCATCCAATAATGCGGGCAGTTCAAGCCTTCTGTAAATAAAAACCATGTTGCACCATTCAAGTGCATCAAGATGTGTGGCAGCATATTTTTCAAAATTAAAAAAAAGAAGACTGAAATGTGCATCAATTCACAATAACATAATAACTCGTTGTGTTCCACTAGAACCCATATGCATCGTAATGGATATGGCGACATGGAAATGAGGAACTGACTAAAGAAATGTGGCCAGCTACAGCATAAAATGTTGCAAAAGAAATGAAAATAATTCGTATAAATAATTCATAATCAATAGATTGTTCAATGTTAATATATTTGTGCGTTCGTTAGAGAGTATTTAAGGCGTCGAAATATTTTGAATATTCGATCATATCTAATTATGTACTTTGCGATCTTTTTTACTAGCATCGATTTAAACAAACAAAAACACTTGCTTGGAAAAACACAATTCGATACAATAATTTCGGAAAAACAAATTCTGAAGAGAAAAAAAAGCAAAAACAAAAACTGAAATGCAAACAATTGGAAATTGTTGAAATGCTTCATTAAAGAAAATATTCTTATTCAATGACTCGAAGTATGACACTTCGTCATAACATTTTGAATTCGCCTTATTGTTAGTGATTTTTTTTTTTTGTTATTACAAAACATAGCTTTTAAGTGGACGAAGAAGAAAATGAAAAGAAAACAAAATGCCAAAAAACTGTTAATAATTTAAAAAAAAAAAAAAGGATTTCTTAAGTCGATCCCAAGACCATAACGAAACGTTGTTCATTTATTTTTTCTGTTTATTTCTTTTTCTGAACAGTGAAATTCTAGAGGATGTATGGTTTCATAAACATTATTACCATAACAAATAATAAGAACGTGCCGCTGAAGCACACTCTGAAATTTGCTTGATGTTATAAAATCGCGGCATTTGCATCACGTCGTCGTTGTCGTCGCACGAGAAAAAAACACTCAAACAACACTTTTAACCTCACCATCTGATTTGTTCTGCTTTGATCCGTATCGGTATGTGTATGCTTGTCGTGGTGACGACAACATTCTGTATTTAGAACAAAATAACTTGACTTGCAGCAGATTGATTGCATAGCGAAAATATAAACAGCTCTCACACAGAGATGTTGACAGTGTGCGAAACACAAGCGACTGAATTAGAATGTGTCTGTAGATGTGTGCAGCTACGCGCTAAAACGATGTATTTCATTTCGCTTTTCAGTCCTGTTCGCTGTTGTTGCCTGAAAGAATACCAACCGCCGCACTACTTCAATCGTTGTGTGCGTGCGTTCGCCTTTATTCGAATTGGTGCAATGCGTGCGTGCTGACATTTCTGTCTGAAAAAATCTGATAGGCACATGTAAAACGCCGGTGCGCTTGTCGATAACTTGGTCAGTGTAATTGTGTCTTTGTAATTAGTCAGAGCGTTCAGAATCGCTGCTCCCAATTTTATCTATTGAAAATCATTGGAACGACATTTTATTTGAAACAAACATAAATACCTTGTGCACAACGTTGAAGTTTTAGTTTTATTTTTGAGATAAGAGGAAAAACAAACCGATCAAGATATGATTAAATCCATTTTTATTTTGCTTGTCGTTGGAATGTGTTCAGAGCAAAGTTGGTTTGTTTCAGGGTAAGCATATCGTTAGAAAAATGCGTTTGTTGTTGCTTTGTTACGGTTTCTTAGCGACAGAGTGTGTGTATGTGTTTTTTTTTCATGTGCAAAATGTACGCCATTTTTTCTTTCAATTTTTTTTTCTCCATCAGACACAATTGTACCGAACCATCCGCATACAACACGAATGAATGTGTCTTCGAATGCATCCAAATTTTGTACGACACGGAATATTGCACTGGCTGTGATGCTGGCGACAAAGTGACCAAAATTAATTTAAATCCAAATCAAACTCTGACATCATTGGTGCAACATGATTTGATTTTTTACAATTTTTCAACTCAATCGCTCGGCGCTGGAAATTGTTCGGGTAAGAAATCGATAGTGGATTGTTCGGTGAGTTACGTTAATTTTACCGCATTTTTCATTCAATTAGGGTGTTCGGCCAACCAAACCGAGCAAAGTTTCATCGAAAGATACAAACAGCCAACTGTTTTAACAAAATATGTCAATTGCACGGCAAATTCCACGGCCACATTGGATGGTGTGACCAAAACTAACTGTACAACGAATGAGGTTCGTGAATTGTACGAAAACATTATGAAGCGATTGGAAAAGGAAAAATGGTGTGTGGGTGCTCTTCAATTAGGCGGTCAGGTTCGTAGTTTTCATTGGGCTCATTTGATTCGGTACATTTTTTTGTTGTTTTTTTTTCCCACAAAATTTTGCATTTGGAAACACAACTTGTTTTCATTACTAAGAATGAATGTGGTAAAAATGATTTGGTTTGGAGGTAATGAATGTGGTTTTTACTTTCAGTATTTGAAGCAATTGATCGTTCAACCGTTGGATAACTCCAGAAATGAGATGAGTAATAAAGATGCTATGGGCAACGGTGCAGAGAGTTCAGCAACTGAACAAATCGCATCGTCGACAGAAGCATCAATAACGACTGAAGTCATCCCGTTACCCGAGAACATGGAAGAGTTTAAGAAGCCATCAGCTGCAGAGGCAACATCAGAGACCGATGATTCGCCGACAACTGAGAATAGCGAGACAACATCGCCATTGATCATTCCAACAACAACGATGAAACCCACTTCCACAACAACAGCTGACACTACCACGCACACAACTATTTCGGCGCCAGAGTCAACCACCAAATCGGCCAAATCGAAACCAACGAAAAAGAAGAAAATCGTCGAGGAACATCATTACATGGGCTCACTCACCATTATTGCAATCATAGTTGGTTTGTTGTTGACAGTCCTAATTATATTGGCGGTGGTTGTGCGCGTTCTTATTTCACGCCGACAGAGAATGCACCCACGCAGTAGCTCAACTACTTATGTGTTTGAGTCTCATCAATATTGAAATTTATGCTAAGAAATCATTTGCATTTGCATTAATAACAAAAAATTCGAATATGTTCCTGTTAAAATTCGTTAAGATTTGTTAATTATTATTACAGAGAGAAAATAAAACCGAATAGAGTAAAATATAGAAGTAAGATAGAAAGAGATGTTGGTTCGTTTTGATATTGATTTTGTCGGCTTAGAAAATTATTTGGGGGCAAATATAGAGACATTTTCTTTAGAATATCCGCCGATAAAAGGTAAGCATCAAGACTTGATAAGTACAATCTGATAGAAAACATGAAAGGTAAAATTTTACAATAACGACAGAAAAATATGAACTTTTTCACTGTGTTAAATCGCATGTTACGCTATATTTGCATATTTGTCATTTCTCATTTTCTTCAATCGCAAATGCAAGTTGTGAGTGTGTTTAAACATATCGCGTAACATTCCCGTTGAACTTGATATTCTACACAAGAACGTTTGGCAAAAAATAAACGAAACAAAGTGACAATTTCAACGGATTATGAAAGCTGACCGCGTGCGTCGATTGAAAGCGTCGGGTTGAATCGATTTTATATGTATTTGTATTTTCCGTGTGATCTACACTGCACATATACATACGAAACACAGCATCATAAGCTTGAACTAAATGAAGAATAAACAAAATGAAGGCTTCTGTCAAACCGTTATCACGTCAAACACATCTAAGCATTTTTTGCATCGCATTGTTTCCGCCCATTTCCATTTCAAAACTAGATTATTTTGCTAATATTGGAATATTTTTCATAGATTAATTGCGATTCATTGACCAATGAACATATTCAGCTAATATAAATTCAGTCAAGTATTTCTTTAAACCAAATACCAACACATTTGTGAAAACAATGTTGAAATTGGGTATAATTTTTCTACTTCTTGGATTGTGCAAAAGTCAGTCTGAGTGAGTCATTTGCTTTGTAATTTTCGCTATTCCAAATTGAACTATTTATGATAAAAAAATATCCTTGTGACAGAATTTGTGATTCGGGATTTATCCAATGCGGAGCAGAATGCTTTCCTATGTACTTTGATGAAGAATTTTGTTCGATTTGTGCGGCTGACTCTACATTGCGCTCTGAAAAATACGATGGCGAAGGAGCGGCTAAAAATGAAGAATCCCGATTTATCGGATTGTGTTCAAGTAAATATTATTGAATATTTCTCAGTCAGAAGAGCAATATTATTTGTCTGTAAGATGATTTTCATTGTCATTGACCTGTAGTCAACACACAAGTGTATCTAGCAGACAATATTGTTCTATTATTATTTATTCAAATTTTTAAGATTTTTAAATCTTTCAGCATGTGGAGTTGATCATGTTAAAGGAAGTCAAAAGTTTCATGAATCTATGACGGAATTGTTAAATTATCGGTGCAAAGAATTGAAGCCTCAATATGACCCGGACATACATCGCAATTATGCTCATGCTGGTGCTTTAATTATTTTGATATTTATTAAACTGTGTTATTTGTGCAGGCGTTGTTGCTGCGGATCCAAGAATGACATCGAGGCTGCCAATAATAATGCTAATGTTGTTGATGAAGAGAATCCAGAAGAATGTACAAATCATGTAATTGTTCACCCAGAAAACGCTAGACTTGTATGATTATTCAGTAAAACAAAACAAAAAAACATTTGACTCGAATGAAAGATAATTTAGTCTTCAAGAAATTTTAAACTATTCTGTACGATATATAAACTGCTGATATTCGTTTGACTTGTTTCGATGCGTAATTGAACGTAGAACTTGGAAAAGGCTGTACAATAAAGCGGAACAAGTGTTGTTGTAATCACAGCTTAAGAAACCCAGGAATTTTTTTTGAGTGTCACTTTTGCGTATAATTTTTACAAAATTGATATTTAACAACGCAACGAAACACGTCCAACGCATATTCTCAGCAGTTCAAATTTGGTCCATTAAATGAGTAAATTGTTATTGTATATCGAAGAAATTTAATCACAAATAAAACGTTTGAACAACAGAACGATATTCATTGATGAGATATTTCAATAAAATTGAAGGAAAGGATTCATTCTGATTTGATTATTTCAGCGCAATGGGTGGATTCAATTTCATATTCTGGGCAATTGCAGCACTATATACATAGGAAGTGTTATTCAAGCTCTCTGGTATTGTCTTCATTTACAATCAATGAATTAGGTGTGAAACGATTACTATCAATAATTCCACTTGATATTTACAAAATATAAATCGAATTTAAACTTTTGTCGCTTGTCGGCCAACCATACAACCAACCACACTTTTTCGATGGAAAAGTTAATGGACCTGGATAACACGCAAAGCCCAGCCATCTCTATAATTTTATAGCTTTAATTAATATAAATTTCTCGAGTAAAAACCACAGCAGATTTTTATTCGATCGCAAAAATCATTGCACTTTTTCATGAAAACAAAGCAAAACCATCTCCAACTGTGGAACATAATGAAGAAGGCGATTCGAATCGCTAGATATTTGATATTTGTCAGTGGTAAAAATGGTTTGTATCTTGGGATGAACATTGGATTTTCGGGACGTGAAAGCCATCGAATGATGACCATGGACTGAAATATGAAATTGCAATAGTTTGAAGAGAATTCTTTGTTTATTTTTACATTTAGTGTGTGCATCTATCATTTATGCACAAAATAACAACGGTCGAATCGGTGTGAATGTACAACGGTCGAATCAAACATAAATTTTTGTAACCTTGCATCATTCAAATCATTTGTGAAAAGTGTGTAGAATTTGAATCACAAAATATGTAGACTCCACATCTCCGCTAAACACAGACATCCAAACACTTTCAAGCGTAAGATACAATCAAACGCAGAGTGGACAGATTAATCCGAATGCTATGTACATATGCTACACATCAATACACGCGGTTTCGCGTTTTGCACTCACACACTACTGCGAATCTATCTGCAAAGAGAGAAGAACGAAAAAGAGTTTGTGTGCGAGCATCGTAGACATAAGGGATTGCTTCTGCAGATAGATCAAATATGAAACGCATCGACGACAACGTTTGAGTTGGTTTGAGTTCCTTGCGCATGTATTAAAGCACCAAATTTGGTACTTGCTTGGACCCTTCTCAAACGGTCACTTATTCCGTTTTCGTTTGTTGGCTCGATCACACGCAGCAAAACTTCTTTACAGCATATTTTAATTCAATAAAAATTCCACAAATAGCAAACAAGTTTAAGAAAATAAATTTAAAGTGAATTTCATATCAACGATCGAAAATTTAAACTTGAAACAAAATTAAAAGCTCCGAACCAAATCATCTTCAATTGCTGAGATATTGCCAAAGTTTTTCTCAAAAATCCCATTGAAAGTGAGTTTTGGACAAAGTGACCGTGAATTTTTCGCTTTACGATTATTATTTTTTGCAGAAAGAAACCCAAAATGGTTGATTTCGATCTCAAACTTGCGTATTGCTGCTGTTTCGATCTGCGCACTGGTGGCTTGGTAATTGGATACTTTCAATTGACTTTGTGGGCATTGGATTTTCTCCTCAAGGTTAGCGGTCTAACTTTTGGTTCATTTTTGGTTTACGGTAATTTATTTCGTTCTTCCCGTGTTTGAATATTGGGTAATTTCGAAATCACACATTGAAACATTTTCATTACAGGCTTGCTATTTGGTGTTCACGGCTGCTGGGTCTATGGCGTCCATACCGTAAGTGAAAACGCAAGAAAAAACATTTCAATTGATTTCAATATTGATGAATTTAAATTGCGTGATATTTTTTTTTTTTGAATGAAAGAAGGATAAATTTTGGAAATTCCAAAAATGATATAATTCAACGAATTCAGTTTGATTTGAAAGTAGAATTAAAATACCAAATGAGAATATTTTCAACAGAAAATATTACGAAACAGATTTTCACATTATTTTCGTTCTTCCAACTTTTCACCATTATCGACAGGAATCGACCAGCTTCATGGTTCCAGGCGTCATTTTTGAAATGATCTGTTATGCTTTAATTCTGCTTGCATTGGCGATCATCCCGATTCTTGGACTTACACTTGGCGAAAAAATTCATGAACTTATTCCCGACAAAGAACAAGCCGCCAGCGCTGCTAATCTCGGTGCAGCCCTTTTCTACGTTTTGTTCATCAGCTTCGCTCTTGGAGCAGGTTCGTATCATTTGCATGAATGGCGTATTCAAATTTTTTATTTGAAATTTAGTGTTTTTCTTTTAATTGTAATAAAATCAATTCTAAACGAAGTTTTTTTCTAATTAAAATTTTATCTCGTCCAATTTTCTCTGATTCCAGCACTTCAATGGCTTTTCACGGCTGTCAAGTATTCCCTGTACAAGCAAATGAAAGAGGAGGAGGCCGATCAATCGAATGCGCGTCCAAGTGCAAACGATAAATTTTAATACATTAGCGCACAAAAGTGCCAATTTCGCATAATCAATTGTTCAATTGATTGAATACATTAAAATGTGAAATGTGACAAACTATGACAGTTCGAAAAATAAATTTTTGAATCTATACTTGATGGTTTTAATAGTATTGTTTTAAAAGAATGGGCAATGAACGTGAACTGAATGAAAAGGTTTGTATTCTGTTGTTTTCCGTTGGGGAATTTTTCAATAAAGGGTAAACTGTTGACACTATTCCATTGGGTGCAGAATTTTTTTCTTCTTGTAATGGCACAAAGAAAATCCAATCGACACTCATTGCTAATATCCAACCAACAAACTTAGAGTTTTTCTTAGATAAAAGAGTCACTTGTGAGTGTAGTCAGAGCGTTTTTTTTTTTGTTTCATTCACTGCGATTGTGAGATAGAAGGGTGTTCATATTCACGTGACTCGTTGACTTTGTTTGTGTAATTAAGAATTAAAACAATTCTGGAAAGCAACATTGATCACGTTCCTTCTGAAATAAGTTTTGTACGATACTCACAAGCAAATATTTCATACTTGTTGAATGAACGTATAGCCTAGCGTATAGCTGTTTATCTCTGTATTTATCGCAACAAAACAACATATATGTTATTATGTATAGATTTTTTCGCCGAAATGCTTTTTTTTTACGTGGGTCTTTCAACAATCGCAATCAGCTTCTTGTTGCAACAAAAAAAACGCTAAAGTGTATGCTCCATATCATACATATGAGTTCGCATTTTTCCATTCAATTAACACACATCGACTGATTACTTATACATTCTTTTCTGAAGAGGATGTTTATGTGAGCTGAAAAATAACAAAAAAAAACGACTAGAAATGACGGCGCATTTTATCGGGGATTCAAAGATCACTAAAAAACGGGACAACATTTATGGCGTCAATGAACACTAATGCAAGGAACCAATCCACTTTTTCGTTTGTTGCGACAAATAAACATATTGAGTTTCATAAAAAAAAGAATTTTATTTTGATTGCTCACTGCACAGCCCAAACAGATATATTTCAAATTGAAATTGTTGCAGTTTCGATAAAAACTCATAAATAAGCAAAAGAAAAATGAACAATGATAAAATAAGTAAGCAATTGATCGCCAAACTGGAGCGACTCAAAATGGTTTCATATTCGGGGAATTTAACAGCTGTGACGATTTTTTCCCGATAAATACAGACTTAAAATCTGTTTCAAGTGAAATATACAATTAAATGCAGAATGAAAAAAATGAATCCGAGTGCTATCTATGAATACTTATCCATACACCTAGCAGCGTGTTGCATTCATATTCTTGTGAATCTATCTGCAAAGAGAAAAGAACGAAACGGAGTTTGTGTGCGAGTATTGCGAACATAAGAGTTTGCTTCTACAATTAAATCAAATGTGAAACGCTACACTTTTCAATCAGCACATCGATTATAACATTTGTGTTCTTTGGGCACGTATTGAAGCACCAAATTCGGCACTTGCTTAGACTTATCTCGAACGATCACTTATTCCGTTTTCAGATATTGGCTCGATAACACGCAGCAAAACTTCCTTACAACAAATTCTCATTCAATAAATATTGTACAAATTGCAAACAAGTTACAAACACAACTAAATTCGAAGTGAATTTCATTTCAGCGATCAAAAATTAAATTTTAGAACAAAGTAAAAGCTTCAAACAAAATCATATTTCATTGTTGCGAGGTTGTCAAAGTGACTGTGAACATTTTTTACTTAACGGGGTACTTACAGGAAGAAAGATGGCCAAAAAATTTGATTTCAGTCTCACATTTCATCTGCGCACTGCTGGCTTGGTAATTGGATACCTTTAATTGATTTTATGTGCAATCGCACTCATCCTCAATATTGTTAGTGGTCTGAGTGTCGCTTCATTATGGCTTTACGGTAAATTTGTTCGTTCTTTTCGTGTTTAAATTTAGGGTACTTCGAAATCACACATTAAAACATTCTCATTACAGCGTTGCTATTGGGTGTTTACGGCAGCTGGGTCTATGGCATCCATACCGTAAGTATGGAGCAAAAAAACTTTCCAGTTTATTTAATTAAAATTAGGTATGATTTTTCAGTGAAAGAAGGATAAATGTCGCGAATTCAAAATATGATATAATTCAGCGAGTTCAGTTTGATTTGAAAGTGTAGAATTAAATTATCAAATGAGAATAATTTCTGTGGAAAATATTACGAAACAGATTCTCAAATTGTTTTCGTTTTTCCTTCGCAATCGACAGTATTCAACCGGCTTCATGCATCCAGGCGTTATGAACTTATTCCCGATCAACTACAGCGCGACAAATTTGCTAGCCTTGATTCAGCGCGTGTCTACGTTTTGTTCATCATCTGCGCATTTGTAGCAGGTTCGTATCATGTGCACAAATGGCGCATTTAATTTTTTTATTTGAATTTTCGCGTTTTCCTTCTAATTGTAGCAAAATTAATTCTAAACACAGTCTTTTCAATCAAAATTTCAACTCATTCAATTTTCCTTTGATTTCAGCACTGCTTTGGTTTTCCGCGGCTGTCAAGTACTCCCTGTATAAGCGATTGAAAGAGGCCGAACAATCGAATGCAGGTGGAATTGTAAACGATCAACATACAGGCAGATATATTGTCATGCATAATTAAAAAACATTCTATTCGCAATGTGTTTGCAGTGCAGATTTGTTGCTGTTTGACACTTAAGTGACAAACTATGACAATTCAAAAAATAAACTTTTGATCTTATTCTTTTTTATTTTAATGATACTGTTAGAAAAAAGGATGAGATATCAACGAGAACTGAATGAAAAGGTTTGTATTCTGTTGTTTTCCGTTGGGGAGTTTTTCAAAGAAAGGTTGAAACTGTTGAGTCCACTCCATTGGACGAAGAATTTTTTTTGTAATGGTACTGAAAATCCAATCGACACTCATTGCTAATATCCAATGATCTTAGAGCTTTTTGCGATAACAAAAAAGTCGCTTGTGAAAGTGCAGTCATTGTATTTTTTGGTTTCATTCACTGCGATTGTCGGATAAAAGTGTGTTCACTTGACTCATCGGCTTTGTTTACATAATTAAGAATTTAAAACAATTCTGAAATGCAGCATTGCTCACGTATCACAACCATGGTGCGGCTGTTGACACTATATTTTCCTATATTTCGAATTGGCGTGCTGTTTAGTTCCGATTTGAAATGTTAGTCGCAATCAGCTTCTTATTGCAATAAAAAACGTTAAAGTTTCTCGATATTATACATACGAATTTGCATTTTTTTTCACTTTCATTAACATGCCATCGACGCAGGTTTGGGATTTCAGAGATTACTAAAAAAAATGGAACGACCTTAATGGCATCTATGTACATTAATATAAGAAACCAATCCACTTGTTCATTCGTGGCGACAAATAAACACATTGAGTTTCATTTAATTGGTTCTGTGAAAAAAAGAAATTTATGTTGATTGCTCAGCCCAAACAAACATTTTCCAAATTGATATTTTTGCAGTTTCGATATTACAAATAAGCAAAAAAATTCAACAATGATAAAATAAGTAAGTAATTGATCGCCAAACTGGAGCCACTTAAAATGGTGATATTTTCTGAGAATTCAATAGCTGTGACGAATTTTTCCTGCTAAACAGGCATACAATCAAACGCAGATTAAACAGATGAATCCGAGTGCTATGAATACACATCCATACACCTAGCAGTGTGTTGCACTCATACACTCTTACGAATCTATCTGCAAAGAGAAGAGAACGAACCAGAGTTTGTGTGCGAGTATAAGGGATTGCTTCTTCAAATGGATCAAATATGAAACGCTACACTTTTCAATCAACACATCAACGACAACGTTTGAGTTCCTTGCGCATGTATTGAAGCACCAAATTCGGCACTTGCTTGGACTTTTCTCAAACGGTCACTTATTACGTTTTCAATTATTGGATCGATCACACGCAGCGAAATTTCCTCATCATATATTCAAACATATTTTCGTTTGTTAAATATTTCGAAAATTGCAAACAAGTTACTCAACTAAATTCAAAGTGAATTCCATTTCTACGATCAAAAATTAAATTTTGAAACCAAATCAAATTATTTGAACTAAAACATATTCAATTACTGTGAATTTGTCAACGTTTTTTTTTGGAAAGTCTATTGAAAGTGAGTTTTGGACAGAGTGACTGTGAACTTTTCACTTAACGTGCTATTTTTGCAGAAAGAAAGATGGCCAAAATACCGGAACTCGGTCTCAACATTCCGTTTTGTTGCTGTTTCGATCTGCGCACTGGTGGCTTGGTGGTTGGATACATCGATTTGATTTATACTGCAATGCTACTTCTTTCCGCCAATATTGTTGATGATCTATCTTTTGGCTTATTTTTGTTGAACGGTATTTTTTGTTCGTTCTTTCCGTGTTTGAATATTGGTTGATTTCGAAATCACACATTAAAACATTTTCATTACAGCGTTGCTATTGGGTGTTTACGGCAGCTGGGTCTATGGCGTCCATACCGTAAGTGAAAATGCAGAACAGAGCATTTACTTGATTTTGAAAATGTTCGTGTTTTTGTTTATTGAGAGGAGGATAAATTTAGAGAATTGCGAAAAGTTAATGAATTACCGAGTACAGTTTAGGGTGAAAGTGGACTTAAAAATACTTTGAAAAATATTCTCATATTTTTTTCCGTTGTTTCGTCTTTTCGTCGTTATTGACAGGAATCGACCAGATTCATGATTCCAGCTGTCGTTCTCGGGGTGATCTATTATGGTTTATGTCTGGTTGTTTTGGCACTCATTCCCATTTTCGGAATTGCATATGGCGCGCACTTTTACCAACTTTATCTCCCGGAAATTTACGAACTTCATCTCCCGCAAATTTACCAACTTATTCCGAACTTCGAAAAACAATTAGCTGACCTCGGTGCAGCTCTTGTCTACATTGTGTTCATCTTCTGGGGTCTTGCAACAGGTTGGTATCATGTGCACAAATGGCGTACTCAAAATTTTTGCATTTCTTTTAAATGCAGCAAATTCAATTCTAAGCACAGTTTCATTTTTAAACAAAACTTTATCTCATCCAATTCTTCTCTGATTTCAGCATTTCAATGGCTTTTCACGGCTGTCAAGTATTCCCTGTACAAGCGAATGGTAGAGGCCAATCAATCGAATGCAGATTCAAGTGTAAACGTTCAATACATTGGTGCATGAAAGTGCCAATTTCGAATAATCATTTTTTCTAATCAACTGAACACACCAAAGTGTGAGAAACCACGAAATTCCGAAAAATAAATGTTCAACCTTATATTTGTTGGTTTTATTAATATTGTTCAAAAAGAATGAGTAATGAACTAAAACTGATCGGTTTGGAAAAGGTTTGTAGTCTGCTGCTTTCTATCGGAGCAAGGTTTACGATATTCCATTTGTCGCAGAATTCATTTTGTAATAGTTCTAAGAAAAAAAAATCCAATCGCCATTCATTGCTAATAAATATTCCATGAACAAATTTCGGGTAATTTGTGTTGAAATTGTGGCAGTGTAGTCAGTGCAATTTGATTTCTTCATTCTGTAAGAATTTATTCACGCACTTTTACGTGAGTCATCGAATTTGTTTATATAATTCAGATTTCAGAAGTTGTAACAATAAAAATACGGGGCATATTACTTAGGTTTCGTTTAAAATAAATTCAAAGCTGATAATCCATGCTAATTTTGGATGAACGTATGGATGTTTATATCTGTATTCATGGCAACGAAATAACATACACTTTTCCGTCAAATTACCTTTTGATCGACGATCATAATTCTCTTCTTATCACAATAAAAACTGGTGAAGCTTTCAGCAGAGTTTGACTCCGGCGACAGATATATGCTTTAGCATAGAAAAAATATCCGCATATTTTTTGGTTTGTACACTCTCAGTATATAACGGCACCCAGCTTCATAGAGTATCAGCACGCACACTGAACGTATAGGACGGTTTGTTTACGAAGAAAAAAATTGTTTATAAACAAAATCTACCAGAACTATATAGCGCAAAACCTTAACATAGGACAGCATTGCTGCCGTTCAAATACATTGCGCTGTACAACTCTGGAAGATTTTGTTTATAAACAATTTTTTTTTCTTTGTAAACAAATCGTTCTATAATCTATATTACTACGTTCAGTGTGCGTGCTGATACTCGATGAAGCTGGGTGTCGTTATATACTGAGAGTGGACAAACCAAAAAATATACGGATATTTTTTCTATGCTAAAGCATATGTCTGTCGCCTGGGTCAAACTCTGGCTGTTAGAAACAATAATCTAGCCTATGTATTACTTTATGTTCATTCTCGTTTGTTTTCGGCACTGTAATTCTTATTCTTACTACATCGAGTTTTTTTTTTCCATCAACATGCATCGACTGATTATTTATGTTATGCCTTAAATTCTACTCCAAAAAATGCTTTCGCGACAAATGAACGTATTGAATTTTATTCAATCTGTTCTCTGTCAAAAGGAAATTATTGTTGATTGCACAGCCCAAACAAAGAACTCTACATAAACATTTGCCAAAATGAAATTGCTGCAGTTTCGAAATACAAAAGTAAGCATAAAAATCAACAATGAGAAAATAAATAAGCAATTGATCGCCAAACTGGAGCGACTCAAAGTGGTTCTTTCTGAGAAATCAATAGCTGTGACGATTTTTTTTTTCACATGTTCATACACTGTCCGTGATTCTGTTGTGTTGAACAGGATTTCGTTTGAATCTGCGTTAAAAGAGCACATTCATTGACGCTACACACAGAAACATCGACAACATCAATGCAGTGTCCGTAAATATATTTCGGCATCTGTCAAGATGTAGAAGCAATACGTATTGAACTGAATACTTATTCATTTGTATTGCCATTGCTAACTGTTGTGTGCGAAAAAGACAACAAGTCATATTGTAGCATACTTTCTTTACGACGTACCTTTACAGAGTCTTCGAGAAAAATAAGGCGTAGTATTTCATACAGAAACCGCATTGGTGTTTACATGTTTTGAGTTTGCAAAGTGTTAGAAGAGAGAGAGAATCAAGACATAACGGTATGTTGTTGATAAATATAAGGATGGGAATTTTTCAGTAAATGTATTGCATTGAGTCCCATTCGTTGTCATTGACATGCAGCCCTTTCAAGATAACTTTGCTTGGACAAGCGTTTCATAGCTACTTTGATGTAAATATTTTTCAATTCTTCTCTTTGCTGAATTTGATCTATCATGTAAATTGTATTGCATTTACTGAAAACGAATAGAATATTCAAATATCAAAAAGATATTTACATTAGACATAGCCTTATCTCAACAAAGATAAAGTTTGGTCATGTCAGAGCATTGAGCGAATTACTTTAATATTCTGGTGGTCAATCGTGAGTCATGTAGCAGTACACTACATAGAGAAGAGTGGCTATCGAGGTCACTGCTGTTTCCTTTGTTTACAATCAATGAGTGAATCGTAAAACGATTGTTTTGATTACCTACAATTCGCTTGATGGGAAAAAAAATCGACTTTACCTTCCATTAGCCAATTATGCGGCACCTCGCGTTGTCACTCTTTCGATTCAATGGTCAACGGATTTGGATGACACAAAGAATAAATCAAGCGGTGTCTATATGTTTTAATGGCCATCAATACAAATGTCTCGAGCAAACAACTGTAGCAGACCTATATTTTATTGCCGCAGAACACAATTACTCATTTTGTTCCATTGAGACAGTTCAATAGTAGGAAATGCGACACAAATGTGTGTCAGTGTGTTGTGGTCATACTGGTCATGTACAGAATATAATTTCGATTCAGATTACAATTATGTTCCGATGTCAGTGTTTGGTGCGCGTGTGTGAACTTATGGCATGCTTAAATCGAAATTGTGTGAGCTCAATCAATTTCTATTCGGTGCTTCGAATGATAGTGCACGATTTGGTGGCCATGTGCACGCACACCAAACACACATCCACCCTCAACCGTTGTGTCGGGATTTAATTGTGATTTTTTTTTGTATTTCGCCCTAGAGTTTTTTGAAATTTCTTTCCGAATTTTGCTAATGTGATAAAGAGAAAATTCTTGTGCGAAAACCCAAAACGTTGGTCAATTGAAATTGAGATGGATGAATTGGAACCGAGTGATTGAATAAACAAGAAACAAAACCAAACAAAAAAAAATTGTGTCCAAATGTGCAATCCAATGGGCTGTGGAAGTTCAAGCGAATCTGTACACACTGGAAACGTTTCACCGCAGCCGTCTGACTATTACATTGATCGAGCGTCGGGAGTGAGTCGAGTGAATGTGGTGCGTTTGTTGTTCGCTTTTTTTTCCTCATGATAAATTTCAATTTATTGCGAAATAGTTGTTGTGACGAAATTCATGTTTTTTTTTGTTTTAACCAACAGCAATCCGATCAAACCGTTCTCGATGCATATTTAAAGCTTGACGAGGAAATTTGTAAATTGGAAGAGCAATGTCCTGGGCCGCGACTTATAACCATTGAAGCATGGATAAAATATTTGGAATCAAAACAAAACGTTTTGAGCAATGACATTATTCAATTGCCTTTGCATATGCTGGACGAGGATTTTGATGAGGAACAAGAAATGACCAAGTATAATCGACGCACACGTCTCGAAAATGACGTTGAATCGCTCACCAAGGTTCGTCAAGTATGTATGTTTTGTTGTTTGTTGTTCGAAATGTTCGACACTGTACAATAATCATGCAATAATAACAGTAATAATTGAATTAATAGCAAAGAGGAAAAACCACAATAGACAACCCACTCGTTTGTGATTGCGCCCTAATTTCTCACTTTGTCTCTTTTTCTCTCTTCCACTCTCCCTCTCTTTCTCTCATTCCAACAGCTAGCCGAGAGCCTAAACATCATAGCAGACAGCACCCAAGCAGCCAAGTATGAAGAGTTTTTAGCCAATGTTAGTCGACGCTACATCGAAAATTGCAGTGAAGTGTTGAAAGAAGATATTTTAGAGCATGCACAGAAACGAGCCAACCATCTACGTGAACTTTGGACTAAACTGCGAGTGAAATACAATGAATTGGACATGCTAATGGGTGAGCCATTTGCTGTGTAACCTTGAGAGAAAAAAAATTTCCCAAACCAATTGATTCTAATCAACCGTATTTTGTTTCATCACAATAGCAACCACCACTGGCAATAGCTACGCAAATCCAAATGAAATGAAAATCGATGCCGAATTGGAGGCATCTCGACAAATTCGTGATAAATTGGGTGGTGCGGCCGAACAATGGCGAACATCCGCAAGTTTACTACGCACAAGTGCCAAATCAGCTTTAGTTGCTAACGAACACTACGCATTAATTCAAACATCGAGGTAACCCAATTGCAACAATTTTTGTGAATAGCCACTTGAAATGACCAAAATCTTTGCATTTTTCACAGTTCGGTGAAAGACAAAATAACCGCAGCGACCGATTGCCGTTCGTCTTTATTAGGATCGTTGATTGCATTTAAATGCGCACAAGAGGCATTGCCACAGGTTGATATTCCGCTTATAACAAATCGTCAGACAGTGGCCGTCGGTCATGCCAACGAATACTTGTTTACGGATATCGCCAATCCAGATCGTTATCAGCATACAAAACACGTGCTCGACGCCTATCATGAAAGTCTATCACAATCGATTAGTTGGTTGCATGATGTGTTTCAAAAAACACTGAAAAAGGATTTGCTGGAGGCTGAAAATGAGGTAAAATCATTGTCAGGGAAATTACGACAGATTCGATCCGATTTTATTCGATCGAAGGTTGGCTATCAAACATACATTCCAAACGAACAAGGCCACATGGAACCGTGAACCATATGAATGGAGGAGAGAGAGAGACGGAGAGCGGCAGAAGCGGACAGAGAAACAATACAAAGGGGACATTGCATGTATTTATTGATTCAGTGTATCGTCATCAAGGTCGTTGTCACGCTGAAGCGTTGATCAAACCAGAAGTTTATTAACTAAAAAAAAAAAATTATCACGTGTTTTCCGATAATTTGTGCTTGGAAAAGTAATCCACAAAAATGACACACAATCAACGTGGAATTCCTTGAACTCGTTTTTCATATTGGGAAATGAATATCTAGTGATTTTCCAAGCTTTTTTTTTGTTCCGTTTCGTTTTGTTTTTCTCTCGGCAAATGATTTGTATAACATTTTATGCGTAATTTATGGAATAGAAACATAATTTCGAATATTACTTTCATTACAAATAAATGACTTTGAGCTCATTACTGATGAGCTGGTAGGAAAAACAATGGACTTTTTAATGATTGGCATGAACTGCAATTAGTCAATTGAAATTACAATTTTCATGTAAGTACAAATTGACTGTCGTGAGAGTAATAATTTTTGATTTTTATAGATTCTTGGCGCTGATTTCCTCCCATTTTCATGTAACATTTAATTTTAATTTGACTTTTAATTACATTTGGTAATTTTTATGGCTGTTTTGCTCTCCGAAGTTCAGTTTTGGAATTTTCCGAAATTAAAAAAAAAATCCGCGTCGAAAATCCATTTGATGACTTTTTCTGTTTCAAATTTCCATTTGAATAACGTTAAAAACTAAATTCAACTTAAAGAAGAACAAATGATTCATTTTCAAATGAAAAGCTGTTCCTGTTTTCCATCGCCAAGCAAAAAAACCAGCGACACATACATGTAGGCGTTTATCGTTTCATTTCTGACGGCCTAAATGCGATGAGTATGCGTTTAGTCGCGTTGTGCGGTGGCACAGAAGCTCATCTTCAATTTAAAATTTAATTTGATTTCGGAAGCAGCAGGCAGTTGATAAACGACCGGCGCACAGTTTAGACGTGACTTAGAAGTGCTCAACAAGTAATCTGCTTGAAGTAAACAATAATTGTATCTTTTGCTATGGGGATTTCTTTTCGTTCATATTTTTTCCATTCAAAACCAAGTGTTTAAGCATTTTGTGTGTGTGATTTTACTAAATATTTGCTAAGATCAACAAATAGTTTCAACGACCGATTTTAATTTTTTAGTTTTTTTATTTTCGTTTTTTTTCTGTTTGTTTTCATGACTCATTTTATCATTTGCAAGTAAACAATAGGCTGTTTTGTGCTTCAATTTCGATAAATACACTTGATGATGACACAATCAAAATACAAATTCCATTGAACTCTGGGTTGGAAAAGTGAAAGAAAGTGCGTGGACATTGTCCACTGGAAAATGGTCGCCTTGACCTGTGAATGGATCAATATTTCGTTGAATGCGACGTATCAAAGATAAAATCACAATTGGGTTATATGACAATTCGAAGAATTGTCGTGTTGTTACTACCCGTTAAAAGCCTTACTCATTTTCTGTTGATTATAATGATAATTGTTGCGTTGATTATGAGTGTGTGTGTGTGTGTGTGTGTGCCAGGTGGTTTTCCATTGTACGCTAAGTTCACTCGCTCAAAAAACAAATGGATTTAATAACCTGTGTGCGTTTTGAACAAGACTAGTTGGGCGTACATTTAATTATTGTTTTGACGCTTTGCCACCGTGAACGTTGTATTAATATTTATGCAACGGACAATGTATGCGTGGTAATTCACGTTTGGTGTGTAAAATATCAATATATTCGTGGTGGCATTTCTCAAATGACTGAGACATTTATAAATATTTTACTTGAAAATTAGCCTTTTCCGGAACATATTTCGATCGACGCTTTCCGATAATGTCAAATTCCGAACCAAGCAAGAAATATATGGAAAAAGTTGACAAAGAATATTTTCTTAGTCTTCTTAAAAGAAGCAAAGCTCAGATTCAAATTTGATCCAGTATCAGGACAATGACCTTTGATTTAAATCATCTGGATTCTAATTCACACACATTTTAAATCCAAGATTTGATTTTTTTTTTCATTTCCGAAGGTCACTCAATTTAAACCTCCCGAGTTAATTCAATGAGATATCAAGCCTAAACAAAAATTGTGCACATAAATCAAATTCGTCAACAAGCGATTTATCCCAACGCGCAGTAATTTAAAAGTCATTTTTTCTAATGCCAAAAGTGAAGATTTCGTCGACCAGAGAAAAAAAAAACGCAGATTGGGCGTTTGTATTTCCTCATTCAGTAATTCCGCAAGGCGTCATTTCATCATAAATCATCAATTATCTGTCAAACAGTTCGATATAATAATTGTTCGTGCATAATTCATCTAAAATGAGCGTTCGTCGAGGCAAAAATACCGAACAAAAAACCAATAAAAAAAATCGATTCTAATTAAATCATTGTGATTTCGTCTGAATGGCACTCGATGCCACTCGACAGTGAATGCAATCGCGCGCGCGATACATTTTACGAATTGCGGTCATCAAAGCACGAATTTTTTTTTTTCAATCGAGTTCCACATGATTGCGTTTTCCGTGTGCATTTCAAAACATCTATACGTGTCTGAACTTCGAACATGTTTCTGTGTGTGTGTTAAGCACACACAAAAAACTGTTACTCATAATAATCGTTTGGCAGGATCGCGGTTTTCCCATCACACAGATCATTCACAATTAAACACATGGGTTGCGGGCGCGCGCCACAACAGCATTCATAATACACGTATCTCAGTTTCAATGTTTAACACCAGAGAAATGAGCCGTTTAAGTGATCGTTTTGCGGTGTAGTGTGACTACGGCCATAGATGAAATCGAAACCAGTTGCCTTTTTGCCTCATTGTTGGTTTTTTTTCTCTGCTATCGCCATTGTTTCGCCTTTGTTTGGCATTCAATCGATTTATCTGAATGCTCACTTTTATTTCATTTTTACTTTTTCGTTCGGCTCTCCGAATGCCCGAATCTCTAATCAATCGTCTATTTTGACAATCCAGCGCCAAACAATGTTGCAGGCGGTAGCCATATTGAATGCGTATGTATGCTTAACATTTATAATTGGAAGAGAATAGAATCGCTTGTTTGTGTTATTTGTCTCTGGTTTTGTTGTAATTGCAAATAGACGCGCGAGCGCGGGAGTGTCGGCGAGCGTTCAATTAATAACGCCACCGCGCTGCTGCTTTTTTTCCCGTTCTGCTCCGTTTTCGATGCAAGCAGAGGAGCGAGAAATATTAATCGTACATGACCCATATACCAAAATGCTCTTGGTCGATGTCGCACCGACATTTACAACAAAATCGAGATTTTGATTGCATCAAACAGTGTTTCCATACATGCATTGAATTTGAATTACATGTGATGAATTAGAAATCAAATAGACTCAACAAACAGAATAAAAAAAAATTATTTATCGACAGATTGCGTATTAGATGATGCCAATGCTATTGAGGGGACAGTGAATGAGTGATAGTGAATAATGTTCAAGTGTCGATTAAACCCATTTCTTCATATGCACCAGAGAGAGAGAACATGATCACATCAAAAACGACAAAAAAATTAAAAGAAACCAAAGAAAGAGCAAACAACGCCGAAAATTATTATGAAGAGTGACTTTTTCAAGTAATTATTGCATTGGGTTCTGGTTTCAACAGCTAGAAAAACAATCAACAACGGAAAAAATTATTTATATGCTGTGTTTGTTGGTGCCACATCAATTCCCGAACATTTTCGAATGTTTTAATAAGTGCGTGTCGCCTCGAATTAGGTCTGAACAAAAAACGACAAACAAGACGAAAACGAAAACGATTAACTATTTCCATTCGACCCAACGATACATCATCATTCGAACGGATTTTCATTAGAATATATGTTTCCATTGAAAAATGTTCACGAAATATTCTAAGAGATTCTATTCAAGATCAGCAAAAACTATCGATTCTTTTTAAATTTAAAGTGAGAACGATAAAAAATCAATTGGGACAAAAAAATAATAATAGAAATTGCAACAGAATTGGTGGTCAAAAATTACAACATTCGAACATCAGATACGCTATCACATTAACAAAATTGAATTTAAAGTGTCTGAAAATTGAAAGTTAAAGTCAAGTCAAAACTGTGATTGAAACAAGAATTCAAACACACAAAATAATGAATGTCAAAAGTGAATGTTTGTAAAATGTCATATTTAGTGGAATTTTCAAGTTGGAAGACACTGGAAAAACGGAAAAATGAACGTACTTTTTAGGTGAGATTATTGTCAATTGTGTTGACAATTTACATTTTTCATTCATTAATGGGGGAATTATAGCGATACAAGCTTATGTTGTTGTCTAAATCAAACCTATGCTTTGGACGGGCGTCTCATTTGCAACGAGAATTCGTTAGTTGTTTTTTTTTTTTGTTCTTATCCATAAAATTTCAGTTCACTTCAATAGTTTGCTTTAACATCCGTTCTCAAAATAGAATCGAGCATATTTTTTGCACGATAATTTCCAGTTGCGTTATCACGTGTATTTGCTCCCATAAGAATTGGGATTGGTCTCAATTCGAAAAAAGTTCAGGCTCTATTGACAAAGATTATCATTAATTAAACTGTAATTGTGTTCACTTCCATTCCATTTTGAGCATTGTAATGAATGTAACTTACTTTGGATGGTAGTAGATAGCGAGACAGATTTAATTTTTCATTGAAAATGGATTCTAGCAAGGCTCTCAGTGGGTATAGTGTCCACAGCGAGTAATGTAGCGTATTTTTTTTAAAAAAACAATGTATTCATTTTACGCCAAATAATAATTGTGTTTGGTTTTCATGTGATAAGATACAGTGGTTTTTGTTTATTATTACGTCATCGTAATGAGTGAACTAAGTGAATTAAAGTGTGAGGCAATAGTTACTTAGTTGCGCGCGGATAATAAAAATTCATCCATCATAAGAGCATATTATTCGAGAGAGAGAAAAAACACACACCAACAAAATCTGACTAAGCAAATGAGTTACGCCCAAAGTAGTCACTTTTGTGATTCGATTAGATTTTTAGGTCTGTGGCTATGTGTGATACAAATTTTATATATCTTTTCTGTTCCAGGTTTCTGTTTGTTTTAGCATATTTTTCATTTCAATTAGCATCTGCAGAACAATCAACGCGTGAACGGATTGCGGTAAGTGGTATCAATCATCGTTAAGATTAATCAAACGAGAGAGTAGAGTTGTTGCAGAAACAATTTGGTTGCTGGAATTCACGTATCAATGCGTTTTGTGCGATTGGCTTGTGCTTGTGAAATGTGATAGGTTCGGTTTTTTTCACTCTCCTGATGTTTACGCATCGTTTGTCGTCATTTCACACACTAACTTGTCATTTATTTTGTCTGTCGCTCCAAATGACAAACGCTGTCAAAATCATAGACGCGCGATCAATTTCCAAATCTTCATATGATTTCGATTTTTCTTCGATGAATTCGAAAAATCGAATGGCAAATTCGTTGCGTTTTGCCACACATAACTCAAAAGAATCAGAACGCTACCGAACCATTGTGTTCAATCATTGATGCATAACCAAAGCCATTTTCAAATGCTCATTTAATTAGGGCTCGCAGTTCAAATGAGACTTTGACGAAAATCATAAATTAATCAAGCAAACATTTAAATGTGTTGCTCCTTCTCCGCTTCAATTTTTTTCCCTCCATAACATGAAGTCAATTTGAAACCGAAACCAAATCGTTTTGCGATGACGACTACTTCACAGTGTGGCCACCAAGTGTCACACCGAACATCGAGCATTTACAAATGATGACAAGATTTTTTATGAGCCCGAAATTCTTTTGCACTCACGCAATGAACTCAGCCAGTAGACCATCCGTTTCAATGGAATTGTACACAAATTGAAGCACAATTTTATGCTCGTTTCAATTGAATTCGATCATAAATTTTTTTACGATCAACCCAGCGCCACACATTCCATGCCGTTAATATTTGAACTCTGATTCCCATTTTTCATTGTTTTATGACACTTGGGCAAAGTGCGCAATTGACGTTTTACTCGATTTAGAACAAATTCATTTTAAATTGTTCGAATTTTGAATTTGATATTAACTTTCAATTTTAATCATAGTTTTTGTTTCTCTTGAACTTTCTCTGAAAAAAAAAAAACGAAAACGATCATGTGTGTTGTACTGAAATATTCGTTCCGTTCCTCTTTAGCTGCACAAAAAATGGCTGGAGCAACGCGAAGAGCGAAAAAAGTTAATGATGCAAGAGCGTCTAGCTAGCAATGGGACGGTTGATGATTTTTGGAAGTCCTATTATCGATATTACAAGTACGATCTCAATACAACATCAAAAAATGACAAAAAATACCGACGAAAACCGTTTCAACTAGACCTTCAGCTGAAATCAAAACGAAAGAAACAACAGCAGCAGCAACAGCAACAGCGAATAAACTCGGTGCTTCCAAATGAATCTGTCGATATTCTAACATCCACAACAACGTCAACTATAACCGCTCTCCCATTCACTACATTTGTCACAGCAGAATCAACAACAGCTGGCATAACAAAGTCGACGGACGAACTACGGCCGAACAACCGCGAACAGAACACAACATCGGAAATTAATTCAAAAATACACATCAATGACCGGATGAATTTAAATGAAAGTACAACGAGCAAAATCAATAAAATTACATCAACTACAGCCGAACATTCAATCACGTACAACGTTACGGCCGATCATTCCAAAGGTGTTCAACCGGCAAATCGAACGAAAGCAAGGAAGTTGTCGAATGCAATTTGGGGAAAATGGCAAAAATGGACCAAGTGCTCGCGTAGTTGTGGAGGAGGTGTTATGTCGCAGTCAAGACCGTGCTTGAGTCGGTGAGTTTTTAAGATTTCTTCATCAGATTTTAGTTTGAAGCGTATTTTTCTTCGTTCTAAAGTAAATTGCGTTTTTAGAGAAGCAATAAATATCAATCAACTTCTAATCGCATTGATTTTTCAAACAATTTCAGTACATTCTTTTCACAAAGGGCAAAGTGCTCGATGTAATAGGGATTTATTTCGATTTTATAAGTTAATTACTGCCTCTGAACACAAACCATATCCATATAAAATCGTTATTTACTCGTTTACACCAAAATGGATCAATAAACGATTTTAAATGAACTGTGTGATCATTTACACCGAGTTAAATGCCGCCAAAAACCGATTTAGAAACAATAAATAAGTTAATAAGTAGCCGGCGAAGCAGCTTCCTTTGTTTAGTCTTAATTTATCAGTTGCGGTTGTTTATGTTGTGTCGGCTTTGCTCGTCATTGCACTTGCTTGTGTGCAACTGCGAAACGCATTATCGCTGTAACGATACTCAATCATGATTACTTCGCGCCCTCGGCACAATACATAACATTATTATGGTAACGCAGTTTAAATCAATTTAAATTAACGTCGATTGTGGTTTGCTTCGGAACTTAAAGAGAGATAAGTGAATATTTCGAAATTATTCTCTTGTGCGGAGGAATTTTTTTTCGTAATTTTCTGTAAATCAATTCACAATTGTTCAAGAGTTTGAATTTCAACTTCGAATAAAATGATTTTTTTTTACAGTTTTTGTTTGTTTCAAAATTTCGCTGCCACAAAAATGTCGATTCAAATTTTCTACGCAAATTCCAAAGGAAGTGATAAAAGTCAATGAAATGAAGGAAATCCTTTGAAAAGACATCACATTATTGATAGCTACGACGTATCTTTCATTAAAATCAATAAAATGAATTTATGTGTTTATCTGAGATTGTTTCCCACAATTTTCTCACGTGCCCATCAAGGGAATAACATACTCTTCAGATTGTTGAATGTGTGATATAAAATAGTGTATCCTGTGTTGTGAAACACCTCAATTTCAGCTATTGTCGATTTCTCTCGTTTTCCCTTTCACGTAAAAAGTGATTACATCTTCGGACAAACAGCCAGTCGTTTTGGACTTTTGCCATTTTTATTTCAGAAACAGGAAAAAAATAAACGGTTAGTAAAACCACCGTCTGGTCAAGACAATTGAATAAAAGACTCACGTATTCGATTGCACTCCCATAAAAAAACATGCAAAAATCGATTAAGCAACATGAGCAATGCGACAATCAAAACAAAAGAAAACCAATAAATTGGTTGGGTGTAATTCGAGTTTATTCGTTTAAGTCAGTCGTATAAGTAGATCGCAAATGATTTGAAGCGCCTCACATTATTCATATTCTACATATTTAAATGTTTCGTTGACAGAAGAGAGATAGAGACGGAGACCAGTCGTTGAAATTGCAATGGAAATCTCGACAGTTGTGTGATTCATGTAAATCAACATTAGATTTACAAATTGATATATTGGAACACAATAGGCACGCGTTTTCTTTGTTTCAAATCGAATCGCGCGCGCGCACACACACACACACACACATATTTTACCGTTTGTCGATTCGGATTGGCATGCGTTCAATTTGTCACTTCAACAGTGACACATATGCCCTTTGTTATGAATACAAGACAAGAAATTCCAAACAATGAACCAGATTTCATTTCATTTAACGCAGTTTCTAATTGAAACGCTCTTGTTGAATGACTAAAAAGTGATCCGAAGCGATTGAAAATCGATTTAGAACCATCTATTAATACCGATCAATTAACAATTACACATATATTAGAATAAAGTTGTAATTCATTGTTCGTGTTTTGCTTGCAGAGACACAACACTGACAAATCGAACGAGTAACGAATGCATCGGACTTCAACGGCGATATCGCATTTGCAATGAACAGGTACGTGAGCAACCATTTTCAGTTTATTATATGAAAGAAACTATTTTCCATTCAATGTTTCGACTTCCTTCTGTACAGAGTTGTCCCGAAGATGAGCTTGACTTTCGAGATCAGCAATGTGTCTCTTACAACAATCGATCGTATCATAATCAGACCTATTCGTGGGAATCGTACGTCGTTGGTAGGTTTTCTGTCGATTCAATCGACTCGATTGTTCAACCAATTGCGAGATATTTAAATACTCACTGAAAAAAAAAACCATTGAATTTGCCTAATCTATTTAGATGAGGCCGAATGTGAGTTGAATTGTAAACCAATTGGAATGGATTACTTTGCAACATTAGCAGAGCGTGTTATTGATGGTACAAGCTGTTCATTTCCAGTGGATTTTCCGCGTCAAAATCACAGTGGACGCGCGGTATGCGTTGAAGGCATTTGTAAGGTAAGATTCTCAAAGATACTCAAATTTGTATTTCATTCTCTTGTTAAATTTTATGGTGTAACTTGTCTTTTGTTTGGGCTTACGAAGAAACAAACATATTTGAAAGGAAAATAGATCAAAAGAATACACACAAGTTGTTCTCGAGTCGTTTAAAATTTACTGCAATGCGCTACTTTATGTATCAAATCTGATTATGATAAATGAAAATGGTGAGGGCATAACGAAATGGCGATAAGAATAAAGGCAGACAAATAAGTTTCGTTATTCTTCAGCCATTATCTGGTAATAATTCGACTAAAACATCATCAGCTGACTTTTTATGTGCGTATAAGATGCTCTCTATCCGGTCGTTGAATGAAGCATGTTGCAACATTTAAAAAAAAAACACCAACTTGTTATCTTTTTGGATGTTGAAGATAACAAAAAAGTACCTGTTTCACATCACTGCAAGCTATTTACTTTATACGGTACATTCATGCTCCGAGTTTCGTGATCAAAGCTCCGTTTGAGAGTGGCCACGTCGAAGTGAATAGAAAATGCTTGCTCAAAGTGATGACAGCCAACACTATTCAGCAGTATGCATAGCACAAGTGAATCTGCAATTGATTTGCATACAAGCGCCGTGCAGACTGCAAAACCTTGAAAGTATTGTTATCATATAAAATATAATGCATGGTATAAACAATGGGAGGATGGATGCAACGCATACTCTGTAATTATCTATTTTATAGTCGTTTTTCTATTTTTTATTCAGCCTCTTTCGATCCATACATAATTTCCATGTTGCATAATCAAATGGGGTAATTTTTGCACAGCGCAAAAATTATCGACAAATTGATAGGTGATATGATTTATGCCAAACAAATCACAGCCAACGAAACAGCTTTGTTGCCGTTGGAGCACGAAAGGCCAAACAAATCAGCAATAAATCTGCTCGCAACACAAATGCGATGAAATGTGCAATTCAAATAAATTATCCCATCAAATTTACAGTTAACAATGAACTGGCGAATCCCAAAAACGGATTTGTGCGACGAACGAACTAAACGATAACATTGCTGCGGGGCTGATGAATGACTATCGAAATGACAATGTGATGCAAAGTGAATGGAGCGACTTCATAAAATTCATAGCGTAGCCTGAAACGCTTTTTTTTCGCCGTTTGCGGTCTTTTTGTAAACGATTTCGATTGCCTAAAAGAACAATCGATGGCAAATCTAAATACGACTAATTGAATGCATTTATTCCGATTCTTTATTCAGAATTTTTATTGCGTACCAAATGATCAAATTCACATTCATACATATGACAATTGGTTTTGCCCAAACTTGGTACGATCACAAGGAAACAATCAATTGGCAAACACACTGATTGACTCAAAGGAATGCAACGCTTCTTTTTTTTCTTCGCAATGCAGACAATTTTTGTTTTTAAAACGATTTTCGTTCTCAAGAGAGGAGCTATGAAGGTTCGTTGAGCTATGAAGGTTTAGCTGCAGCTCAATATGTGGACGTATTTTCAAATCATTTGAATCTTTTTGAATAATTGGCATTTTTCAAAATCATAGTTTGAAAATGTTTGTCACTTTCAAAATTCTTCCTATCGTTGTATCAAATGGTAAACGGAGCATTTATCCAAATTACCAACGCTTAGAATGTGTTTGTTCAGTTCATAAACAAATCAAAACCATCGACAATTTTCAAATTGTATGCTGTTGATTGCATATTTTGAAAGAGTGTGCATAATTTTCATTAACAATAAATTCCACTCCGACTTTTTTTCTCGCTCGATTTTCATTGTCTCTTGAGGGAATAAGAAAAGGTTCAAATTGAATGGAGTTAAATGTTCGAATATTAATGCATTGAATATCTCTAAATAATAAGCATGCAGAAAAATGCCAATACATCATTTAATTGAGACATTCTGATGATTTGGATGTTTGATATCGAGTAAACAATGGGCAAATAATTACTTAATTTAATTGTAAGCAAACGATAGTCGAAAATGTTCGGATTATGAACGAAACTTGGAAGTAACGCAATTAGAAATGAGCGCGTTTCAATGCGTTAGTAATTTCTATGATTATCTAAATCCAGGCGTATAACTAGCTCCAACATCGACATTATACACAGCTATCGTCCGACACATCCGAACCGAAAAAGGAGGAAATGAAATAGAATTTCTTGCGTGGCATAGTTAATTGTTTAATTCAACGCAAACATGCTTTCTTCTTCTCTTATAATTGCATGTGAATTTGATTATCGGTTGAACAAAGAGAGCTTTTCACTTGCGCAGAACATTTGCAATTCATTAAACTTTTCGATTGTTCTTAATTGGTTCGCATTTTGTGTTCGAAAGTGTTCTCAATTTCTCTTTGCATCGTGAGTTGATCGGAAACAGATGAACATTTCAGTTCCGCCTTCGAATGAAAAACTTTATTCTCTGCTTGAGCTAAATTCATTGTCTTCTATTCTTTCTCCAGAGCTGAATCGAGCTCGCTGAATAGAATATTCAGTTGAATTGTGTTGAAGAAACGACTGGTTCATTCACTTTCATTCATAAAATGTCTCAAGTTTGAAAATCAAAGACGATGCCGTTATCGACTCGCAAATCCGATGATGATTAATATCACAAGTCAACGCAATTAATTAATTAGTCAATAATCCGCAGGATGTATTGCTCCTTTTTTCATCTCGCTCAAAAGACGGCGTTCATTGTTCGCATTCTTGTTGATTTTCCGCTTAGCACATTCGTTCATCGCCTCAATGGTATCGGATGTAAAGAGCCAATTATCACTTCATACAGAGGAAACAAAATTAATACAGCCCGTCAGTTTTATCCATGATTAAGACTAATTATGTTGTTTCGGCTTATGTCATTATTAACACATTTCTCGCTCTTTCTCACAATCTCCACATTTTAATGACATAATGGGGGCCCTCTCTGTGCTAAATGATTATGTGTTTGACTTATTGAATTCGTACAAATTAACACTTTGTTGATTTTCGCATGTGTTGGCTGGCTGGATATTGTTCGTGTGTTTCGTGCTCAATGTCGCGTCCAGGCTGTGTGTTTGTCGGCTTTTGAATGTCATTAGGTTAATTTATTGAAATTAATTCTCTTTCGTTGGTGCAAGAAACCAAGACAGTGCTATTTTTACACCATCCATCCCAGCCGATGCCGTCGTCGATGCGAAAAATTGTGCGAATCGAATTTTTGTAAGCTGCTTCTTCTTCGTTCGAGAACCGTTTTAAGGAACCATGAATATCTTCTGCACTGGCTAAAGTTCACCGATGCGGCTTCATTATGATTTATGAACGGAATGTGCAAAAATCAATTTGTGGTTTCATCTGCTCAGAACAAAAGAAGAAAAAAACACAGCAATAAATCATGGTCTATTAAGAATGGAGGCAGCAACAACATCATAATCAATAAAAAGACGATAAAAAAATTCGGTTGACTCAGTTTTTTCGATTTAAAAGTTTGGCCTCAAAATTTCGGGAATGTGTTTGGAATGGATATTATTGACTCGGTGATTGTCTCAAAATTCAATCAAAACTGTGCGTTCGCATTGCGCAATGCGTGCACGCATAACGGGTTCAAAGCAATTCATGTGTCTTGCTCTTTGCCGAAAAAGGCATTTAATTGTTTCAAATGAACGAATGAAAAAAATTTGCATACGAAAGCAATTGACGAAATTGTCGATAATTGCATGCAGCAAACAAATCACATGGATTGAAATATTTGATTCAAAATCGAATTTAAAATGATCGAATCGGTTCTTTCCAAACATTAAATGCCAGATGGAAATGATTTGGCAGTTGTTCCCAGCAGTAATAAATCGATCTCAATGGACGCGTGCGATTCGTCAATCGCTATTCTAATTATGTTCTAGGCTTGGCCGTTGGTTGGTTTTTGGTTTGTATGTGTGTCTGTGTGAAATATTCCCGAATCGAAATTTGCATATAAAGTATCAATTGTAATCCATGGAACATCTCTTTTTTTTAGCTCTCTAATGGATTTCCATCCGAAAAGTGAGTTGTCACATTCGAGTTTTTGAATTTATGTAGCGCCAAAAAAACATAGGCGCGAAATTTTTTTCGAATCGTCACAATTACAGAAATTCGGATTCAGAGCATGATAATCATCGTTTGTTTTAAATAAAAAAAGAGGGAAACATTTTATGAGAGACACTAAATTTCCGTCGTATTCCACTCTTTATGATGTAAAGTATTATTGACTCGAAAGCGTTTAGATAAGCGAAGAGCCAATGTCAATGAGCGGGAAACTAGTTTACGAGGCACAAGCCGCTCGGCCGATCAAAGTTATTCGGTTAATTGAGTTTGGTGGAAACTATGCGTATATACGTTTCGTTTGCATATTTTCGCGATAGTGTACTAATGCAAAGTGGTTTGCTTCGTGGTCACTTTTGCGAGCGCTCACACTGGCTACATGCGCTTACCGCGCGCACTACTCAATTAAGCGATTTATAAATATTTAGATTCATTTTTACCTCCTGCTTACTTTACGACAACAATTTGTTTATGATGGAGCCAACAGCAGAGGAAAAACAAGAAACGCACCGATGTATCCAATAAGATGGTTTGTGCATTTTCCCGCTTTCATAAAATATTATTTGCACAGTTACTGTGTGTGCCGTTGTGGATGTTTTGTTGTCATCGATGCGGTACCAAATCATCGATGTGTTGAAGAGCAGAAAAAATAACAGGCGTTATACCGTCGCTTCTCGATACCAAAAAAAAAAAAAAAAAAACAATCAACACACCAACACGCTTCGCCTGTATTATGCAAATGCCTTTTGTTTTATCGTTTCTCTCTTTCTCTCTCTCTTCGAAGCAAACCGCTCAATTCTCCTTTCGGTGTTTATTCATCAGAATAGCTTGGCGTTGTGCGTCGCGGCTGCCCCGTCGACTCCATTCTACGTTTGTGTGTAAATATGATTTTGATTCAGCATACTGTCTATGAGCTAGCTCAGTCTGTGATTTCGGCTGTGATTCGCACGGAATATTTCGCGAGTGACAAATCAAACGGCGATTCAGTTTGAGTTGGTCGATCGATGAACATAGTCGTGACTAAGCCGAGAACAAACCGCAAACTAAAACACAGTGCGTGCGTTAAGAGTGTGTTTAAAGTCCTTCGCAATAAAAAGTGTGCACAACAAAAGATACAAACTAAAAAAGTGGTGCGTGACGAATCAAACTGAATTTGGCGGTTAAAAAAGGGATTTAGATAGAGGTGACATAAAAGCATCTGACCATGTTCGGCTTTGTAATTGTTTGAAGCGAACAACGACAATAACAAGAATTCGAGAATTTCGGCTCTTAAATCGATCATAAAAGCCGTTTTTATGTCAAGCGATTTATGACTACTATACCTAAACTGCCGAGTGGAATGTTACTTAAACGGAGCAATAATCTAATGAAGGTCAAAGATAGACGTCCGAAGCAAACGGCAAAATGAAATAAACTGAAAATGAAACGAAATCACAAACTTCAACATCAAATAGATTTCGACGGACAAACCGATGTGCTAATGTATTGTAATCGATACGCGATTAAATTGATAAAAAAAATTGGTCGAATCGTCTCGATCATCGTTTGAGATTCAAATTAAATCATTCAGTTATTTGTTATACATATCATTTCCTCATTGTTTCGTTTCTGGGCAAAAAAAAAAAACACAAAAAAAAACTCCGTTTCTGTTCTAAGAATTTAGTGGAAAAAAAAACTAGCCTAATATCATATCAGTTGTTGGTATCTCGCGGATTCCGTCATGTGTAAATACGCGATTTCTCCTTGATATATTCACTGGAGATAATAGTGTTGATTATGTGTGTGGCTTTGCTTGGTCTCAATGCTCTAAGTAGTTGTTGACATGTCTACCGTTCGTTCTCTCTCTCTCTCTCTCTCTCTCTCTCTCTCTCTCTCTCTCTCTCT